TTTTTTTTTTTTTTTAAAGAAAAAAAACATGAAAAACACTGCTAAAATGGATCTATTGCTGATTTTTTTTTTAAATAGAAAAATAGCCCGACTGTCGGAAAATGTATCGAGCGGCCATTTTGAAAGAAAAAAAAAGAAAAAAAAGAGGGCCTCCTCCTTCCTATTTTTCGAAAAAACAGGACGCTAATAAAATATTTTTAAATTTTTTATTTGGCCTTAGAGCGAACTTTTCTATTCGCTCCGCGAGGTGAAATGAAAAGAGCGTCATCTTGAGTAGATCGTTTGTTTGATGTTATTCTTCTCATCCCTAATGAGCAAACCTTCAATGTATTAGAACCAAGTCATGGGGGGAGAAAAAAAAAAAGATTTGACTGACAAAATATAAATTCTTCCAAGCTCAGGCTGTGGCGATGTGCAACGCGTAGCGTGAATATGAATGACGGGAGAGAAAGATAATTCCTTTGTCCATTATTACGACGCTAGAATCATATCGCGATGTGGGAATTATACAAATATGTTGATAATCATTCAAATTACAAACATACACAAGCGACCCACACAGTAATCAATTTGCCGACTATACCGGCATACATGTAGTCATTCACATCATTCGTCTTTTATTTATTTTTTTTGGGACAATTAAGCTCGCAATTAAACAACCATTAATCGTACATAGTCATCTTTATTTCACATTTCATACAGTCGTCACAAAAATTAAAAGGAGGCGTAATAAACCCAACAAAAATAAATCATAATTTATTCTGATCAAGATGAACGAGTGTGTTGATTGCCCCCCAAAGCAAAGACGATCCCACCAGACTAGTTCATGCTGTGCTGTAGCAATGTACATTGCAAAGCTTCGCCACAATGATTGGAAAGATAATACCCCGCCCGTTACGACGCAAAACGGCGCGAGAAGAATAGATCGCGACGCGAGAAGAATACATCATTTTTTTACAAACAATGGAATGTTTATCAGAACGAAAACCGGAGGAGGGGAAGACAGGCTTTGGCCTACAAATACTTTCTGTATATCAAGTTTAAGCTGTACCGCGCATCACGAGCGAGAACAATGACGGGAGAGATAATCTTCCATCGCCTGGTGGGGCGCAAAAGGGCGCAAGAAGAATAGAGCGGGTTTATACCAACAATAGACAGTTTCTTTTCATATGCAAGAATCAGGTGAGGGTGACTATTGCGCCCCTTCGCGCCCCTTTGCGCCTCAATGCGTCTCTTGGGACGCGACTGTTCTATTCATCGCGCCCCGACGCGTCCGGGCACAGTCGCAACTTTGGAAGGCTCCCCTAATATTGCTCTGCTTTATACATTTTCTACAAAATCATTTGGCAGATATTATTTATTTGTAGTCTTGAAGTTGACTATATTCAGTTTAGATTTTATAAGATTCTCTAATAATGTATGTTCTATCATTCTGAAAGGAAAATAAATGAAAATGTGTTTGCCTGAAATCAAGGAATGTTTGGACAAACTCCTACCCCCCCCCCCCCCACAAAAAAGTAATATTCTTTTAAGTTCCTGGCAACATCCCAAGCCAAGGCAATCTTCTGTGTCTGTATCTTTCTCAACTTCCAGTGTAATTAGATTTGAAATTCAAACAGAAACCAGATTAAAGAAATAAAAGAAATTGAATTTTTGGCCAGTGATGAAAAGTATTCAATTTCTCAGAACACCTGTTGTTTTGAGGTAGTGGTATTTTGTAATGAATACAAGAGGAATGCTTATCATACCGAGATGAATGAGGTATTTTTTGGAATTACATTTTTATATACATTTAGAGTGGATATGTGGTTGAATAATCAATAAGTAGACAACTGGTTTTCAAAAGACAAGTTTGAATAATTGTCACTGATAAATAGATTTGCTTAAAGGTGTCATCAAATGAATGTCAAATATGAAGAGCATTGTTATAGTTGTACCTAGTTATTAGTAGTAATTTTGAAAATCTTTTTGTTTTTTGAGATAGACAATCCCTTTATATGTTTATATATGTCTTTGCTTGTTTTTTCATTTAAAGAAAAACTGTGCCAGAACTGCACTGAGAAGGTCTTGCAATATTTTTCTTGAATACAGTTTTAACAGTCCAGTAGCACTTTTGAATACATTACTTAGGAATTTTCTTTTAAAACTATTCATTGTATATTTAAACTCGTTGATGCCCATGTATTCTTGCCATAATATGTTTATAAGAAAACAAATGATTGCAAGTATACATTGATTTGAAACCACATATTATGAGATTACATAGCGCTCATGAGCTGTCAATTTTTAATTGAAGAGGAATTTTGGCCAATGTGAATGTGGTTATTTTACCTGGCTGCTAATAAAGCATAGATGCGTGTTAGTAATGTCTTCTTTTTGTTGATATGACCATAGAAATGACATTGGAAGTCTTTATCATTCTGACCTGAAATAGTAAATCAAATGGGCCGATGAGAGGATGCTGTTTTGACCTCTTTGGATAGATATTGTTCCCTAGTTGACGTAAATTTGTCATAATTTTCCAGTCGCCTTCATAAATTATGGTGACAAAGAGACCTTAACCTAGCACCAAGTTTTAATATTTCCTGTTAGTGTTTTTGTTGATAACACCTTTCACACCAACTCTTAAGGGAATGATATGAGATGTGACTCATAAGATGACGTCTGTTGTTGTAGATAAACAAGAGATGATGTCTTGAGGTGTTAACTTCATTCTTAGTGAATTATCCCTACTGAAATCGCACCTGAAGGCCTATAAAAGAAACATTTCTGAAGAATATCCATGAAATTTGCACAAGATGGGGGAACTTAATTGTGCGTTTGAATGTTTGAAACAGATAAATGCCACCATACAAGCGCTGTGGATAATCATCACCATCATCATCATCATCATCATCATCATCATCATCATCATCAAGTCATGTTAATTGTTAAAAATATAATGTGCTATAAGAGTAGGGTTTCATGTCTTTATCCCCCCTCCCCCAATTTTCCTCACACTTGTTTCTTATACTTCAAGCACTTGGCTTCTCTAACTCTTCTGATTAGTACCGTACCTTAATATTTAAATCCTTGCTGTCACGGCCACCTTACAATCAGTCCCAGATTGAAAATCAAATTGGCAGCTCAGAGGAACCTTCAGATTACTGCTGTACTAATAGATTTGTCAAAGTGTGACATTTAGCCATCGGTTTCATCCACACTGCTTTATAGTCCATTCAGACTACAAGATAGTCGTACAAAATTTGTATCAGAGAACACTATGTACAGAATCATTGTAATGTGAAAGGGGGCGTATGCACGGATAGGCATTGTGTAATCAGTCGTAGAGGCATGTTTCTACAAATAGCCAGTACCACAACGTAATGTGGCTAAGGTAGCTAATTTGCATACATTTTTTTAAAAATGTGGTACCTTGTGCATCATATGTACATGTAGGGTTAGGGTTAGGATTACTTTAGCTATTTTTAAAGAAAAATGCCTGTACAACAGATTGAATAATCCCTACCTTATACTCATGAAAAAAGTATTGTATAAAAGAAAAGGTTTTTTTACGATATGATGTTCGCATTAGTGGACCCTCATTCTTTATCGAATGTCTGTTTTGAAATGATCTCCGAGCATCCCTTTTTGCTCTATGACGTTCCATTATGCAATGTTCAGAACTTCAGACTGAGAAAGAAATGTCAATTACTCATCATAGAGCTCCATTTGTATATGGTTTTTGTATAGCTATACAATAAATCTTGGTAGTCTGAACAGGGGGTTAGCCAAAGGAACGGAGAGATCTGAAATTTGTCACAGATGGAGGATGAGGGGCGTTTGGATATAAGATGGCAGGAAAAAACTTGTTGAGAGTCCATGTTGGATGCATTATTATTATTAAAAGTAGATCAAAATCGGTTTAATTTTCTTGTATTTGTGAGGTGACTACAGGGCCATTGAGACATTCAACAAATCAACAAATATAAATCGTAGATTGTATCAATAGTAAGCTTGAATGTATGCAAAAAATCAAGTTCAGCAAGTCAAAACATTAATAGTATTTTTAGAACTTCTTGAAAGAGCACACATGTTGGATGTATAAAATGTGGATGAGTCTTCATTTTCTTTTTAAGTTTTAATGGAATATTGGAGAATAACATTGGTGTGATATTATTCCATCTCAACTATAAATTGAATTAGAAATAAAAACCTTGTGAATTAAAAGCCACCCAGTGAGTAATTAAGTTATATCTTTATAATAATCAGTTTCCTCAAACTTTGAATCTTATCATGGTGATACAGCCCTTGCTATTAACAACAACCCCCCCCCCCCCCTGGAAAAGAAAACTAAAATGGAAGAGGGCTAGATGTGATTTGCCCCCTTTTCACTTGAAAAAAAAAGGACCTGTCAGTAAGAGAGAAGCCAATCACTGCCAATAAGTTTTAAAGCCCGAAATTGCTCAATACAATAGTGACGCTTTAATCCTTTCGATGCCATGGGCAGCAAATTCCACCTACCGTATTAATCTGTGTGTTTAGAGCTGTGTTTGGGCTAGGAATGGTGGTCTGTTTCTTCCTGAAAGACTTAACAGGTATGCCTTCATTGTAAAGTTAATTCCTATGTAGCCTATTTTATGCACAATCAACTAGTAGGGCTTTAAAAACGAATTGTTCAAGAAGTTTGCATACAGTTACATATGCATGTATCATTGTTTTTTCTTCATACAGGCACTGTCCATTAGGCCTGTTCTATTTCCTTTGATATTCTAATATGTCTTCTGTAAATGTGTTTTGTTTTTGTTTAATTTGTATATTGTTATTGATGTTATTTTGTGTATTGTTGTAACCTCTCGTATACAGACTCACTGAAAAACAGCCTTCAACATTGGAAGCCTTTTTTTGTATGTGTGTGCAGGTTTTTTACACCATAATGAAAAAAACTGAAACAAATTATAAGCCAATATACTCAAAGACAAAGAAAATATGACATTATCTTTCCATTTTATTTTCTTTGTAGGTGATTCCTCAGCTGATAGCTAGGATTGATACCAGGCAGCTGGTAGGACGGCTCATCCAAGAACTACTCATTGACATTGGAAAACACCATCCTCAGGTATGAATGCTTTTATCTTATTGTGTTTGCTGTTTTCTCATTAACATATTTTAAAAGTATTTCCCTCTTTAGTTTCATTCAACTGATTTGCTTGTTTAATGTTTTGATCTCTTCTCCTTTCTCCTCACCTTAAAGGGATTGGGTATCTTTGCCTCAGATTCTAAACAAAATCCTGGATTTAGCTCATGCTGCAATCATAAAATATAAACCTTAAGGTCAGTCACGAATCCCATGACTTTTACAAGCCGATCACCTGTCTGATTATCAAGATATTTATGATTGGAAATCAAAATTTCAAAAACTGTTTTCTTACAGGTTTTTATAACACTACAGTCTATTGGGGTATATGAGTGTGGTAAAACCGGTCACTCGAAGATTTTTACTTTTTTGAGGCACTTCATGATCATTTTGAAGCGGAATTTTTAGGGCTTCAATATTACACCATATCAAAGACACTGATAACACTTACCAGGACCATGCATCTCAGATTTAACATTGTTAAACATTGCCTTCAACAAATTGTTTGACGATGATTGGTTAACATCAGGCTATGCTTTCAATTTTTTATTCATATTTCTGTGTTAATCCTACATGTACATAGTTTCTTCAACAAGAAATACTATTTGATGTTTTTTCTCTCGATTCAGGCTTTGATTTACCCTCTGACTGTAGCATCCAAGTCCCAGAGCTCAGCCAGACACAATGCCGCCAACAAGGTGCTTAGTAACATGTGTGAACACAGCAACACACTGGTACAGCAGGCCATGATGGTAAGCATTCACACTCTTTGAAGAAAGAAATGTCATGTCAATAAGGTGTTTTATAATCACCATCTGTGAATATCTTTAAATAAAAACTGAAAGTACACTTTTTAAATTAACTGTAAATCTAAGCATATCAGGAGCTCTTGTAGAGCAGTAGAATATATACTAGATGTTGGATAGTTTCCGCGCTCTATAAATTTATTATTATTATTATTATAATTTGTGTGAACACAGCAACACAGTGGTACAGCAGCCCATGATGATTAGCATTCACACTCTTTGAAAAAAAAAGTTTATATTAAAACCAAGGTGCTTGTTTAAACACAGTAGTACATGTATACACTGCAATGGTAATCTTGCATGCTTTTTGGAAAATGTATAAGACAGAAACCAATGAGAAGTTTGATAACATGTGTGAACACATCATTTTCATAATGGACTATAATGGAAGGGAGCAAGAATCTCCTTTCAAAAAGAAAAACAAGAAGGAAGGTGAAGTGTGTGAAGTGTGTTTCACTGTCATTTCCTCTCATTTGCACCTTTGAGTGCACAAACAAAATGTTTTATCATTTGCAATATAGATCAGCCTCACAGATACTGTGATGTTTAATCAACCAATGATTTGCCTGTAGCTATAATGGTCATGTTATACATGTATATTTACAATTGCACCATTATTTCTCTCTCCCTCCCTCTTTATCTTTCTCTTTCTTTATTCCTATTTCTTCTTTTCGCTCTTTTCTCCCTTCCTCTCTCTTCCTCCTCTCTCTCTTCCTCCTCTCTCTCTCTATCTTCATCTATCTTGCCATCTCCCTCTATCTCCACTTTTTTTTTTCTCCATCTCTCCCCATTTCTTTCTTTTCTCTATGCATGTTACTCTCTCTCCTCTTGTCCTCCCCTCCCCCTCTCATCCTTTCTCTTATATCCATCATTAACTCTCCATCTTTCACTCCATCTCTCCCTCTTTACCTCCATCTCTCCCTCTTTTCCTCCATCTCTCCCTCTCTCCCTCCATCTCTCCCTCTTTTCCTCCATCTCTCCCTCTTTCCCTCCATCTCTCCCTCTTTTCCTCCATCTCTCCCTCTTTTCCTCCATCTCTCCCTCTTTCCCTCCATCTCTCCCTCTTTTCCTCCATCTCTCCCTCTTTCCCTCCATCTCTCCCTCTTTTCCTCCATCTCTCCCTCTCTCCCTCCATCTCCACCCCCAGGTGAGTGAGGAGTTGATCCGAGTGGCCATCCTATGGCACGAGCTCTGGCACGAGGGACTGGAGGAGGCCTCCCGACTCTACTTCGGCGAGAGGAACGTCAAGGGGATGTTTGCGGTCCTGGAACCGCTTCACGCCATGATGGAACGGGGACCACAGACAATGAAAGAGACCTCTTTCAATCAGGTAAGGTCCGATGATAGATGCCTAATTTTATGGGCATGTGGTTGTCCTAAAAAGAGACTGTAAATGCTGCTATTTTTCCCAAAAGAATTCTCATAAAGTCATAACTTCCTAACTGGTATTAAAAGTGGGAAAATTTTTATTCCGTTGGGTGGAAATAAAAGATGTTTTGACATATTGGATGTCCAGTCCGAGTTATATTTATATCAACTGCTATTCATTTAAAAGATACACTAGCATAAAACCATTTTCAAGAAAAAAGCAAGCTTAAATAGTTGAAGTGTAATGGGATGACCTAAAAAAAATTGTGATCAGCTTGGGCAACGAGCTGGTGAAAATTTAAGGCAATATTAGGTTGATCACTTCTTAACCCATTGCGTTTGGGAACTTGGTGACCCCTGTATTTATGCCTATGAAAATAACATTATTTCAGAAGTCACTTGGTTAATACCACTCCCACTTGCTGTAACAGTCAAACCTGTCTATAGCGACCGCCCAAGGGAAACACAAAAAGTGGTCTTTGTAGACAAATTCCTTTGGTACATGGTTCAATGAGAAGCTGTTTACAAGGGGGGAAAGGGTTCTTTAAGGACAGGTGGGCACTAAAGCAGGTTTGACTGTATATCCAGTTTGGTCTCATGAGAGGTGCATTAAAATTTGCACATCAAAACTATTTGTAAATGATCCTTTTGAAATAACCTGCCTTGACTGAGAATATATAGTTGTGTTAAAAATCATACAACTCGAATCACTTTAAGAACAAATTAAATTATTAGCTATAGAATACATGTCATGAGCAACATCATAAAAATTACATTGACAATAATACATTCCTGAGAAGGGCACCTTTCATTTGTACATGTATGTACATTTATGAAGGTGTGGTTATAACAAATACGTCGTTTACAATTAATTACAAGTATTAACGACAACTTATCAATCAACCTCATTTTGAAGTTAATGTTATTGAGATATCTTGTGAATTGAATCGGGTTGTAAAGGATTATTCATCAACCTTATTTTATAGAGTAATTATAAAGAGATTAGTAAATATAGAAGAACATTGGCTGTCACATCTAGCATATTCACTGCTGAAAACCTAACCTGTAGCTGCTTGTACATGTGTATAATTCTTTTGAAACATTGATATTCAGAATATGCCCGTGAGTATAAAGTAATGAGAAATCTAACCTCTCAAAAAGTTTACTCTCGGCCAAACAGATCAAATTGTTACGGGTGCATCAAGAGGGAGTGGTTGGGGGGGGGGGGGCACTTTACTCATTTCAGCCATTTGTAAAGAAAATGTTTATACAATGTTTAAGCTCCTGACATTTCTTTTAGCATTTCTATTTCAGTTATGAATAGAATCCGTCCTTTGAAAAGAAAGGAAAATAATGATACAAAATAGTTCAAAGCTCCCGAAATGTCTTTTTAATAGAATTTCTAATTCACTCATCAGTAGATGTTGCTCTTGGATATTATTACTCATTCATTCATCATGTCCATTTTACATGCAGGGTTATGATAACAGATTAAAAATTAATCAATCATGCACAAGTTTTCCCTCTTTGTGTTTGTATGATTCCTTCTGAGATTTACCAAAATAGTATTATGATGAAATGTAAGAATAAGTTTGTTTGAAGGAAACATTGAGAAGTTAACTTTTCCTCTCTGCCTTGGACCCTTGAGACAATGTATTTCTTTCTCTCTCTTTTATAAGTTTTTAAACTTGCGTCTCAAAAATTTGCTCAGGGCTATGTTTCGTCAAATACATGCATGTAGAGGTAGGTCATGGACTATAAGTACGTTGAGAGGTAGGTTTTTGGGGTTGAGATAACATTAGTTCTAGGGTTGAGGTAAGGAATTTCAGAGGAAGAATGATCTAACTCCTACAAAACAGTTTTCACACATTCCTTAAAAATAATAAAGAAAGAAAAAAAACCCTCTGTATTCTTAAGAGACAAATGTACTCAAATTATTTTATTTTACCTCTATAAAGTGGAATTTTAGAAGAACTGATCTTGTTTAAAAAAAAGAAACAGAATGTAAGGATATTTTACATATATCTAGGCCTGGGCCCATCTTATATTATGAAGAGTTTCAATATATCCAACTCGATCCCAAGTCCTTAAATCAATTGCAAGTTTGCAGTCTCCTATCTCTTATGTCCAACCTTGCAATTGATATTGATCGCAAATATGTTGCGATTTGATTTCAACTCTTTGTAAGATGGGCCCTGATGTGCAAAAAAGAGAGGATTTGATGCACTTTTCATTATTTAAACTCAAACTTCATCTTTGAAAGGGATTTAATCAGTTCACTTTGTTTGTTTCATTTTCAGGCCTATGGACGAGACTTGATGGAGGCACAGGAATGGTGCAGAAAGTATACCCGGTCCAGGAATGTGAAGGATTTGACACAGGCATGGGACCTGTATTACCATGTCTTCAGGAGGATCTCAAAACAACTACCACAGGTATGCTGGATTATCAAAAAGATGATATGCTTCCATCCCTTATACTTTTGTTCTCTTGATCTGTCTCATTCTCCATCTCTCATTCCATCTCTCTCTCTCTCTCTCTCTCTCTCTCTCTTGCCCTCCTCCACCCCTCTCTGCCCCTCTGTCTCCCTGTCTCTCCTCACATCTCTTTCTCACTTTCTTTCTTCCCCTTCTCTCTCTCTCTCTCTCTCTCCCTCCCTCTGCCTCCCTCTTTCCATTTCTCTCCTTGTCTCTCTTCGTCTCTCTCTCTATCTCCTATCTCTCTTGTTTCCCAGTTCTCTGCCCCCCTCTCTCTCTCTCTCTGTCTATTCTCTTTCGATAACTATCCCTCACTCACTATTTCTCTGAATCCCTTTGTTGCTCTCTCTCTCCATATTTCTCTGACCATCTTTCTTTTCACTGTGTACATGTACATGTATGTCCCAGTCTCTCTCTCTCTTTCTCCCTCCCCCTTTTGCTCTCTCTTTCCCTCTCTCATTCCCTCTCTCATTCCCTCTCTCACTCCCTTTTTCTTTGATCTTTACTTCTTTCTATATTTTTCTTTACTCTTTAATCTGTTTTCAATTCTTTTAACACTTTTCAAAAGAAGGTACATGAACTACATTTGCTTTGTGTTATCTTTAGTCTCTTTAAAACAAGGTTTTTACCTTAGTTTGTATTTACTCTGAACCTCAGATGTATACATGCCCATGAAATCCCTCCATGTAGAGGTTTCTTCCCTCACCTACACATCAAGACACACTTCCACCTCCTCTTCAAACATCCCAAGATAGCATCAAATCATTAGAAAATAGCTCCACTAGATGCATCTCGATAGAATAACTGATTGGAATTGATACCTTTATTACACCCGTAGGCTAGAAATAGTAACAGACGGCATGACCTAGGGCTGATACGGTATCTCTCCATTTTGAATGATAGGACGTGACAGGTACATCTGCTCCGGTCTACCATCTTTTCAAGAGGAAATTTTTTGGAGTGGGCTATTTAGGAGAGGCAGGTTTAGGGAGGGGGGGGGGGGGTATTAATTTATTCATTATTCTAGGAGTAGTAGGCTAGGAATAGGAGGTTCCATCAGATATTTCATTATAACTTTTTGTGGGGGGGGGGGAGTACTAGTTCATTAGTTATTCTATTATGGAACAGTATTATAACTTGTTGTGGGGCTGGGGGCAGTTTTCAAATCGTTGTTGTTAATTCTTCTGCATTCTCCCTATTTGATAAAAAGTGTATTTTGGATAAGAAGAGGTGCACATGTAAGATGCTAGCAGGTTTAACCCTTTGGTATTTCACCCCCAAAACTGGAATTTAATGGCCTCCAGAAATTTGGAATAATCGAAAGAGATTTGATGGAGGAGAAGGAGGTATTTAGTGAAAGGAAGAGAAGGAAGAATGGGGCTTTAAAAAAATTGTTTAATTGTTTCGTGCACTTTGACCCCATAACTTCCATTTATGAAGAGGAAAATATTCAAGAGGTTTAGGGGCAGATATATCAACTTGCTCCTTACAACCTTAAGAAAAAATGGTATTCATGAGTTGAATTCAAATGGTTCATTACCAATAAATTTCATGGTAACCTGTATTCATGTAGTATCAGCAGAGCCATCTATACACATAGTTTGGCAAACTTAAGTTTCACTGGGACACAACTTGGCGTATATTGTTTTGCTTTGTGCTTGCCTATCAAAGCATTAGTCGCCATATTTTGTCCAACTCGAACCGGGTTTGCAAAACTCTGTGTATAGATGGCTCTGAGTATCAGGCACAAAGCCTGCCCTAAACCAGTCTTTATGAGAAATTAGACCTGTTTATATGGTGGGATGTCTTAATGGGAATGTGGAGGAATTATTGAAGTGAATGTTACATCAGGAAACATCCTTTTCCTCGCCAACATAATTATGTACATGACTGTAAAGGCAGTTTTGCCCTTTGGTTTATATCGGTACCCCATTTACTAGACTCTTGCTGAACAGACTTCATTTTTAGTCTTTAGGACTATGCCTTTGGAAGAAAACCAAAAATAGATACAGTATTCTGCTGGGGCGGAGAGGGGGAGAAAATTAAAAATGAATAAAAGTCTTGAATAGTTTCCAATATATACATTCTACAGACCTGCCAATCAGTACGATTTAGTCTTATTTCGTACGATTTTTAGAAGCAAATAGGATAGTACGATTTTCTGCAATAAAGTACGATTTTCAAAATGATTTTTTTTTTTTTTTTTAATTTTAAATTTTTTTTTTTTTTTTTTTTTTAAACAGTATTTTTTGTGTGTGTGCCATTTTCAATGGTAAATGCCAATTATGTCCTGTAAAGTATCCTACAAGCATCTCACATAGGCAATTTGGGGATGTTCATTGGTTCATCGAACACACCAGTCGTGACGAAATCATGCACATCTCAACCAATGATCCTTAAACAAAATTGTCCCTGAATGTAGGAGCTGTACGAGGCATTGATCCGCGTAGCAGTCCGTGTTTATTTTTAAGAATACAACTTTTGTCAGTAAAATACAACTTTTGGGATTAAAGAATACAGTTTATGAACTCCAGAGGTTGGCAGGTCTGATTCTATACTAATATTATAAAACATTCAACTTTGAAGAAGACTTTTTTCTTCTTCTCTGTGCATGTTTTGGGCTCGATGCTGGTACCCTACAGGTACATGTATGTTATATATATATATATATATATATATATATATCATCTTTTAGTTCTATTAAGAGATATTGTAAGATTGAAGTACAGAGAGTCCAAGTTTATCCGAGCCTCTTGAGATATGCACATGAAATGGTGGAAAACAAATGAAATAATCTAACAATTTAGACCAAAAACAGAAGAAATTGTAAAAATCCATTACCGTCATTGTCTTTCTGAGTAGGGGCTCCTCAACTTATTAAAGAATTCAATGGAATTCATCCCTTGAGTGGTGAATATGGTTATTAAAAAGACATGGACAGTGTATGTGCAGCTATAGAATATCCTAAGAATCAGTGAACAGTAGAGGGGGTAGTTCCACTGGTAATCAAAGGACATTCCAGACCAAAGTGCTTATTAAAGTGCATTGCTTTTATAGTAACTGGTTGTCTGTCCGTTGTATGTCCATGTCAGTTTCCTACAGTAACCACATTCTTAACTTCAACCCGGGACCCATCAGTATGTGGATACCTGAACTTAACCATGACCCTTAACCATGACCCTTTACTGAAGCTGGCGGTTCCAGGAACCTCCGACCCTAGAACCTAATTGCAACCCTAACCATAAAACTTTTGACATAATAAAGCCAATAGCAAAAGACCAGTTCACGGATAGCACATGTCCCAAATGATCCCAAATATCCACAGATCTTCAAAACATGATGATATTCCACTTGATTTGTACATTTTGAAATAATCACTCCTACAGCGATGGAGGTGCTACATAAATAGCCTTTGTTCCCCCTTTTCAAAGAATACTTCAACCTACCTGTGTATCATGGAGTGCACTGCTTGTGCATAATAAATGAATAATGATTACATCACTTTCATGAGCACGTTTCCAGTATTTTGCCTCCATGAATTTCACAATTTGGTCTGCAATGACCTTTATCTGCTCATGCTCAGACTGCAACTACATGTATGAACTGGCTTTTTGTTTGGTCACCGTATTTTATATCTTGTTTGTTCATTTTGCCTCCTTACCCAGCTCACTCAATTGGAGCTCCAGCTTGTGTCTCCCAAGCTCCTGATGTGTAGAGACCTAGAGCTAGCGGTTCCAGGGACGTACGACCCTAACCGACCCGTCGCTAAGATCCAGAGATGCCAGTCGACGCTGCAGGTCATCACATCTAAACAGCGCCCTCGCAAGCTCAGCATCTTCGGTAAGGGATTCATTAAAGGGACTTTGTAACATTGTTCAGATGAGAGAAAATGGTGCTAAGTTAGTGACTTCAATGCTACATGTACAATTACAGATAATCTGAAAGTTTGAGTGAGAATAGACCATTGTTAATGATAAAAATTGGGAAAAACTGATGTGATCAATTCCTTAATTCTCCCAACTGTATTATTACAATTTAATTATATTTTAGGTGAATGTAAATCGTCACAAAGCAATGAATTGGCTCTACAATACCATTCCAGACATTTAATTGTTGACAGATTTTTAATAGTCTGTTTTATGTCTTATTTTCAAGGAAAAATGGTTGGGAAAATTCAAAAATGGTTGGGAGAATTCACTGTTAATCACTGTTAGAGGGTATTGCACAGTGACGCCTTCAAAGAAAACCATAAATATCTTTGTGGTTTGAGAATTTTCTCAGGAATTTTTGCCTGTTAGAGGGTAAGTACAACTGTATAGTAGAAGGAATAATCATGTAATCAGTAACATTTCATACAAAAATTACAGTTTTTTCATCAACCTTCAACAATGTTACTGAGTCACTTTAAAAAGTCATACCTGACATTTTCATGCTTCTTTGGCCCACAGGAAGCGATGGAGCTGAGTTCATGTACCTGCTGAAAGGTCATGAAGACCTCAGGCAAGACGAGAGGGTGATGCAACTCTTTGGACTGGTCAACACCTTACTGGCCAACAACCCTGATACGTTCAGAAGACATCTCAAGTAAGTCAAGCTTCATGTAGTCCCACCTCTACAGAAAGACCCCCTGTCTCTAGTGGCCACCATTAATTACATAATATGTACCTGTATTATACTGTACTAAATTATTCACACCCCCCTTTTTTTCCCTTTTTTTGTTGTTGTTGTTGATCCCCCCCCTTTTTTTTTTCCCTTTTTTTTTCTTTTCCTTTTCATAACTCAAGATTGAAAGTAGACTAGTTGAATTAGTGCCTGTGTTGAATACTTTTAGATGTAAGCTTTAACTTGTCATATTCTCAAGAAATGTTAATTGAGAAAAATCACTTTTTTTTACATCCTTCAAAAAGTACAAAACTTGATGAAGGGTATAAATAATTAAGTTGTTAAATGATTACAAAATGCATCATAAAGTATACCTTTGTGTAGAAGGCATCTGGTTAATGAAAAAAAATTTGTGTCATCCAAAAGCAAGATCTGCCTTTCATCATCTGTTGAAAGTCAGAAAGATAGTAGCTTAATGACTATACATAGAGTTATTGAATGCCATTCTTTGTTTGAGCAGATTTATTGTAGATTCTTAAAAATGTTACAAGAAGCTTTATGTACATGTACATAAACTGGCTTTATTTATCCATCTTTTATAGGAATATATTATACTAGAAATGTCAGAACATCAGAAAAATTTAACCCCGAGTCACCTTGAGGAAAATTGTCAGTGTCAAGTTGGAGAAATTCCTGTACTTTAAGAGGATCATTTCAAAGGATTTTTTTTCTCACTTGAACATTTGTTGTTACTTGGATAATCAAGTTTCCCATCACTTTCATCATGTTTTCATTAAGCTTAATTAATTAATTAATTTTTCTTTTGTTTGTTTTTCTGTCCAGTATCCAGAGGTATGCAGCCATACCCCTCTCCACCAACTCTGGTCTTATCGGTTGGGTGCGGCACTGTGACACCCTACACACACTCATCAGAGACTACAGAGATAAGAAGAAGATTCTACTCAACATTGAACATCGTATTATGCTCAGGGTAAGCTCTTTCAATAATTTAAGAGGGAGGAGTGGAAGGGGGGAAGGGGAGGGGGGACTCCGAGGCTTTCGAGATAAGAAGATCCTTCTCAACATTGAACATACATGTACATGTAGTATGGTTCTCAACGTATGTTTTTTATCATTTTGGGTGAGAAGGGGGTAAAGAAGGTGTGGGAAGGGGCAATGAGAGCAGTTTTCTTTTTTCTTTGTTGGGGGGGGGGGGGGGCAACTTCTCTCAACAGAGGCTACGGGGATCTTGAGCGATAGAAGAGAATATATGTACAAGTAGACATCAAACATTTATTCTCAGTATGATTTATCCATATCATTTTTCATATCCTGATTCTATTTCCTTTTCATCCCTAGATGGCGCCAGACTATGAACACCTGACATTGATGCAGAAGGTGGAGGTCTTTGAGCATGCACTGGACTACACTCAGGGAGATGACCTTGCCAAGCTACTCTGGCTCAAGAGTCCAAGCTCAGAGGCAAGTAGAGAAATAGTGGAACAAGTGCAAGATACCCTCACCATACAAGTATCCCCAAGCCTAACCCTAATGCTTTCTCTGACCCTAACCCCAATCCTCAATCATAACCCTAACCCTGATCATGATTCTGATTCTAATCATGATTCTAACCAAAGCCCCTTGCCCTAATTTGACCATGAAACACTGAATACAATTGGAAAGTTTACAATGAAAAATACATTGTAAATTTGTATTGAAAGTTTATGAACTTGTTTGCAGGGGTTAATAGATGCATATACATGAAGGTTCGTGAAATATTGTTGTATAACTTCGTACATCTTCTTTTTGTTTATTTCTTTGTTTGTTTATTTGATTCAGGTTTGGTTTGAGAGGCGGACCAACTACACCCGATCTCTAGCTGTCATGTCCATGGTAGGATACATCCTCGGTCTAGGAGATAGGTGAGTAGCATCTCATACAATCATGTACTTTGGCAACACAATTTCTTGTGGAAGGCCCAGTACAGTGGGTCCTACAACTACCCAGAACAGTTCATGTACTCATATAATGTACCTAACCCTTGGAGGACCTGTCTTCAAAGACCACCTTTGTTGTTTCCCTTGAAAATGGTTTCTCTTTGAAGCATGTACTAAAGGAACCTGTACATTAAGACCACCTTTCGTTTCTCCTTTGTATGGTCTTTATAGACAGGTTTCACTGTATCATGGTGTAGTGGTTCATTCACTTGACTCTCAATCCAAGGGTTGAGGGTTCGAATCTCAGCCCGGTACTAACGTCCTTTGGCAACACTTGAATCCACATTTGCCACTCTCGACCTAGCTATAAATGGCTACCTGGCAACGGCTGGGGTAATAATAATGATAGTTACAGGGCCCTCAGGAAGAACAGCATTGAAGCTGATGAGGCTTCCCTGGGTAAACAAAATCATTATTATACAGTAGGCTTGCTCCTTATTATCATTATTATTATTATCATAACTCTTAACCTTAGCCTAAATCTCACCTTAAAACACATTTGCAATCCCTATCTCTTTGATGAAATAAAGTATTGATCAGTTGTCAGCTAAGCATACTTGTATGAATAAATCCATGCTTTTTATTATTTATATATATTTCTGTTTTTGTCTTCTTGCGTTCGATTCTAGACATCCATCTAACTTGATGTTGGATAGATTGACAGGCAAGATCATCCACATTGACTTTGGAGACTGCTTTGAGGTATGTGCCGCCTTGGACATGTAGATAAAACTGTCAGGTATTCAAACATATAGAGGTGTGGAGGTCTGGTGGATAAGCCATTGTGGCCTCATTGTATACCCAGACGTTGTGTGTCCGGACAGGTTGTGTATCCTGACAGACGATTTAAAACAGCAATTTGAAGAAGTTTACCATCAATATTTCACGATTATTCTAAGACTTAATGTTGGGCAATATTATAAAGGATAGATATTGATGATGGTTAGTGCTAGTTGATGAATATTTTTGGTTAAATCCAAAGGAGAAGTCTTAATGTTTGTTAAGTGTCCAGACACACACCCCTCCCCCCCCCCATCATAACAGTTTCCATATTCTCCCATCACAAAACAATATTTTGGCATACATTAATTTAGGTTTGCCACTCTCCTCCCAGGCAAAGTAAATATGTATTTGGGGGGAAGAAATTATTTGAATGCTTGAGCAACTTATCAGTAGATGGGGTGAAAGCTGGGGTAGGAATTATATTAAGTGCTTTTTATCATCAGGTAAAAGTGTTTATTGTTATCATTTTGTACAAAGTTGATCTTTCTCTCCTCCCCCCCCCCCCCCCTGTAACAATCTCCTTTTCTCTCTGTTATCGTAACTCTTTTGTAAAGGAGTAATTATTTGCCATGAGCAAACGAAATGCTAGTCACTTTCTTTCCTCTCTATTAAAAGCGTTCCACCATTGATCGTATCCTGTTTTATTTTCTAGGTTGCCATGACGAGAGAGAAGTTCCCCGAGAAGATTCCGTTCCGTCTCACTAGGATGCTCATTAATGCTATGGAGGTAAGGAAACATATTATCTCTTTGCTTGGTGAAAAAAATCATTTTATTTTGGATATTGGGACTAATTGCCTATGAGTTGCAACAACATAGCCTGTCTATAAGGGAAGAAAACTCGCTAGTTCTTATTTAAGCGAAGAGCTCCTATCAGAGTTCACCATCCCTTTTCAGGGGTCTTATTCCTGCGATTCCTTTGAAGTCATCCTGGTATCTTAACCTACATGTACAAAGTACTCCATCATGAAACGACAAACAAACAAACAATAAAACACAGAATGCTTAAACTTCACTAAGTCTGTCATTTGTTGAGTCCCAACAAATTTAATTCCAATCAAACAATTTGATCAGTGTGATCATTGTTTGCAATCGTGATTTTTTGGTATGTGTACAGTCTGAGACCACCGAAACACTGGTAGTTGGCTTCATCAAGTCATAGACCAGAGTCTATTATAGGTGTATGAAGCAAAGTTTAGTCTAGTTCATCACTTTTTGAAGCCATATTTTAAAATTTCCTTTGACTCTCAGATAAAGATCTGTATCAAAGACATCTTAGTTCTCTAGAAATTTCTTTTCATACCATAATCAAACTGTATTTAAAGTGTCCTAAGAAACAAGTTCTCATTCATGAATCTGCTAAAATACACATTTACCAGACTGATGCACAACACGTAGTGATGTGAAATGATTAAAAAGGCCTTTTTTTATAAGACTCATAAATAGTGTTGATACACATAAACTGTACATGTACATGTATGTTGTGTCCAGATAAAGGTAGCATTATTTCTATTTTTCATCCTCACAGGTGACTGGTATTGACGGTAACTACCGTATTACTTGTGAGAGCGTGATGCAGGTTCTAAGAGAACACAAGGATAGCATCATGGCTGTACTGGAGGCATTCGTCTATGATCCTCTGCTGAACTGGAGACTGATGGACAGTAAGTAGGATGAATGGAGAGAGGGATAGATAGATGGAGAGAGGGATAAGGAGAGAGGGATAGATAGATGGAGAGAGGGATAAGGAGAGAGGGATAGATATATGGAGAGAGGGATATATAGATGGAGAGAGGGATTAATAGATGGAGGGAGAGATAGATGAATGGAGAGAGAGAGGGATATATAGATAGAGAGAGGGATAGATAGATGGAGAGAGGGATAAGGAGAGAGGGATAGATATATGGAGAGAGGGATATATAGATGGAGAGAGGGATTAATAGATGGAGGGAGAGATAGATGAATGGAGAGAGAGGGATATATAGATGGAGAGAGAGACAGAGAGAGAGAGGGATAGATAGATGGAAAGAGAGAGAGAGAGAGAGAGAGAGAGAGAGAGAGAGAGAGAGAGAGAGAGAGAGAGAGAGAGATATATAGATATATGGAGGGATAGATTACTTGTGAGAGTTTAATGCAGGTTATGTGAGAATTCAAGGATAGGATGATGATGAGACTAATAGACAGTAAGTAGGATAGAGGGATAGATTGATATTGGTTGATATATGAAAAGATAAATGGATAGGAAGATGGAGGGATGGATGAATTGATGGAATTTTGAATGTCAGAGAGAAGAATTGATGAATAGATACCTAACTTTATAGAAAGATGGATTAACGCATGTAGATGGATACTTACAAACTCACTAATGGTTTACATGGTGCACCCACAAGCCTACTGTATATCTACATCACCATGCAAGCCGATACTTACAAGCAGCATCATTAATGGTTGTTACAAAATATTGATGGGTTGATAAATGAATTGGTTTAGATACATGGAGATACATGATATGGATGGATTAGTGGACTGATTGATGGTTGATGGGTGTAATGTTTTGATGATAAATACGTTTAAACAGCAAGGCAAAATCACTCTTATCAGAGTAACATTTGACCATAATTGATATTCTTTCTCCTTGTCTCTTTCTATCAGCTCCCAAAGGCAAGAGATCCAAGGCCAGATCAGGAGCATACTCTACCAGCCAAACAGGTACAGGTACAGGTACAGAAACTTATCAATGATAAAACTAAGTAAAAAGATCATATTGATTTCAAGGGTAGGATCATCCGTTTTTATACTTGTACTGTCTTTCCTGAGGGCCCTACAATTATACTAAAGCTAGGGTAATAATTTCCAAAGCTCTTTGGAAGCGCATATAGATGTTATTTCATAACTTATTATGCGCTATACAAGAACTGAATATTATTATTATTATTATATACCCTGTATGAAATGGCAATAATAATGAAGGTTACTGTGATCTTTGAATTTGATTGGCTATGAGCAAATTGATTAAAGCGTTGTGATAATTGCTATTCAAATCACAATGCTTTGTTTCTTTTTGTATACTAAATAAGAAAGATGATTTAAGTGCTTTCCTCTTTTGCTTCAGATCTACTTGATGATATGGAATTGGAGATACCCAAACAGAAGAAGGCTGCGGGCCAAGCAGAGTCTGTGCAGTCTCAAGGTACGAGTAACACTGTGGAAACAGAGTGTCAGTTTGCCATTTATGTGCTTCATTTGCCAATTGGCACATTCAGTAGTTTGCTTTGTTAGCTGATTTGCACAATATCTGTAGCTCTGTAGCATTCCCTTGTGGAAGAATATCAGCAACATCACATGACTGTGATTGTTCTTGACATGCTCTCGTATTCCAAAGAGGAGAAATTTCCATGCCATATTTTGATGCAATATTACTGTACAGTCCCATCTTACATGTTTGTTTTTAAACAGGGAATAGATTGATTGATTGATGTTATTTACCCCCAAAAATTAACATGTGTAGAACATTTTTATAAAGCTATGTCATTACAATATGTAAACATGTTAGAGAATCAAAATGGGTGACAAAAGCTTGTAAATGGGACCAGAAAAAAAGATGTAGCATGTGTGTTAGTCAAACCTAGCCCATCAAGTTTCTTAGTGTGAAGATATGTGTGGAATCTCAGTTTGTAACAGTTTATATAAAATGGATGACCATATGTGAAAAGAAGAGAGCGACTATGTAAAGAAAGAGAAAGACAGAGAGAGAGAGAGAGAGAGAGAAAGAGAAAGAGAGTGAGAGAAAGAGAAATAGAGTGAGAGAAAGAGAGAGAGAAGAAGAAGAAGAGAGAGGGGGAGAGAGAGACATGTTGTATTTCCCCCAAGTGGAACTGTTCACATATGATATGTTTTCCTTTTGTAATTGTTTATCTTTGTATAGATGGTGAGCCAGGAGTACAGCCTGAAGCACTCAACAAGAAAGCTATCTCGATCATCAACAGAGTCAAAGATAAACTCACAGGTATGTCAAACTAATTGTACATTTTCGTTTATAATTATATGCTCAGATTATTTCTGAGATTCATATCCTGACTAGAATTTTTTTTAACAATATTCACATTTATATTGTTTTCATGAACATTGAAAAGCAAAACTTATTATAATCATATTTAGGTATCTTAGTGAAAAGTTAGTGTTACATGTTCAGGTGTTTGTAAAGACACGTGATAAACACAAATGCATACTTGTGTCAAAATAATCATATTTGTTTGCAGAGAGTTAGAACCTCTTCTATGTTTAATGCCAAATAGTACTGTCATTCAGATACATGTACGTCAAATGATACTGTTAACCTCATCGATATCACCCCCAATTATGCCTATGTATTTTTGATTTACCTACAGTTACTACAGAATTTGGGATGTACTATACCTTGAATCATGTTACTGAGAGCATTTTACCAAAAATTATTTTTGGTACATATCCAAAATACGTCTGGTACATAATATTTCAGTAAATTGTGCATGATGTTTCTTATACATGTAAAAGCCAGAAACATGAACATGTGCGTGTACCAGATTTGGCAAAATTTACCTTTATAGATTACTCACTCGTAGCTATTATTATCAGGGTACCTCAAAAACATGATTAATTATCTTCCTTTTTAAGAGCTGATTTGCGATACATTTCTCTCTAACTTGTACGGTGTCTTCATTCAAGCATGTTTGCATACATGTATATAGATGTGATATCAGTAACCATGTATTTCATACACCACACGATGCAATATCACAATGTTTATGTATACTGCCCTCTATTGACAGGATGTGACTTCTCCACCAACGATCCGGTGGATGTACCCACTCAGGTCGAGCTACTCATCCAGCAGGCTACGTCTCATGAAAACCTATGTCAGTGCTACATTGGATGGTAAGTCAAGCACTAGAGGGTGCCCTTTAAAATTAAGCTCCTTCTGGGCCCCATTTCACAAAACTTGTCATCAGTGACAAATGACAGTTTTTTTGTGATAAGCTAGTAAAATCATTGCTTCTGATTGGTTATCAGCAGATTTGTCACTGATTTTTGTCATTTTTCATTGAAAAGGGGCTTTGTGAAACGGTTCCATGGTCATCAATTACAAATGACAGTTTGTGTTATAAGCTAGTGAAATCCTTGCTTTTGATTGGTTATCAGCAGATATGTCTATGATTTTTGTCATTTGTCAATGAAAAAAGGCTTTGTGAAACGGGTCCATGGGATTTTGTTTCATGAAATTGCATTGAGAGGAGCAGGATGAAATCAATATTGACTTATTTATCATGTATACTGTAGTAAATGCATCTTTTCAACCATAGATTTTACATGTAAGTCAAACATTTTAGGACATCATTTGAAAGAGAGCTTGTCTTGATTTCTGGTTATGAAATTACATTTCTAATGAAATGGGCAGAAGTCAGTATTGGAATTTTGTATCATTTACTATGGAGGAAGTACATGTAGCAAGATAACTGATACTTACATGTATACTGGTATGTTCCTGCATGCATGTCTTTTGATGCAGGTTTAACACAAGGAGACTGTTTTTAACGAGTTTTATTCCAATTTCCTTTTAGAATCATCAATTTAACTGTACTGGGCATTAAAGCATACTTTGGCAAGCATGTGTCTATAATCCTATTCTTTGTAAATAGTTCAAAATTCATGTATGCTTATGTTATTGGTCTTTTGATTATTTCTTATTTTTCTATTATTTTCTTTCATAGGTGCCCATTCTGGTGATATGTGTGGAAGAAAGGAAAAAATCAACATCGCTTGCCAATCAAGTAATTCCTGCTTCTACCCCCATCACATGTCACTTTCTCTCTTGACCTGGTCAAAGGTCAACATACGTGTCCCTAGAGATGGACCCCCAGCTGTGTACCCCTGTGTAATGAGACAGTGAGCCATTCCTGAGAATGGGCATGAGTGTATATGGTTATCTGTACCACAGTTTAACCAATTGACTCCTGGAACTTGGTGGCTCTTGTATTAAGCCTATGGCAATGAGAAAATTCAGTAATCAACAGGTTAATAGCAACTGAGATACATATATATACGATATACATGTACATATATGATGCATGCTCATAGATGACAAGATGTTATAATTATTACTCATGTAAGCACCAGCAATGAATATCATGATACATGTGTGAAAAGTGTTCTTTTCAAAAGAGGAAAGAAAAATTGATATTTAATAAAGAAAATGAATGAATACATTTGAGGAAGGTGTCTTAACCGTAGACATCACAATTGTCACGGGTAAACAATTCATTGATTTGTTGTAGAAGTTCTTTATGATGATATTGAAGCACCTTCATCACTTTGTATGCTAAAATTCACAAAGTACACTCTAGGACCTCTTCGTGTTAAAATCCTCTGTGGATGTTAAGGGGTCATTTAGGATATGTGCCAACTTGAAAAGGGTTGATTAATATCAGAATACACAGATGAAAGTGCTCAGCTCTTTTCAAAAGGGGGAAAGAAAAAGGATTCTCAATCACCTCAATCACTTTGAGAATGATTTTGTATAAATGCAAAAACTTTTAGGAAATTAGCACCTTATGATTAAATTATTTGTGAAAGTTTTGGGGTCGTTGGGACATGTGCCAACTCTGAAATGGTGGATTAATTTCAGGCAAAGTGAAATGATATCTTGATTTATCATGAATGTTGGAAATGATGTACCTGTACGTCTTTTCAGACCTACAGTACACGCCGAAAATCTCCGCAACACGATTTACACGATTCAAAATTTACACGATTCGACTGCTCGCGGGAATCGTGTAACCATTTATTTTTACACGATTCGTTTTTTGCCACTGAAGCGAAATTTGAATCGTGTAAACGTGTAATCGTGTAAAATTACACGATTCCTCAATTCAGGTCGAATCGTGTAATCGTGTAATCTGCCCGCCGAAAATCTCCGCAACACGATTACACGATTCGATTGCTCGCTGGAATTGTGTTACAATTTATTTTCAGTGGTGATGGTGAGCAGGTTAAGGACGTCTAGTTCAGTAAAAGCAAGAAGTTACTTCTTGGTTGAACGAGGACAACGTGGACGATACGAGGGGATAGCGAAGATTACGCTTTCTTTCTCTTGTATATATTTTTAATTGCAGTGTCTTGTCTCTAGTTTTATTATAGAATGTTTGAAAGTTAAAAAAATCAGTCCACTTCCCGAAAAGCACTCTCGGATTTAATCCTCGGTGAGAAAAAAGAAAAAAGCGATGAACGACGAAGGAAGGGGGAATTTTGTTATTCCTAAGTTGTAAATAAGTAAAAATGATTACAAAATGTAAAGGAGGGCTAACATAATTAAGTATGTTGTGATACTCTTACATTACAAGGCTGTACCAATTAGAATTACGGTTCACCAGCTCATTCGTTACTATGAATATCGTTATACTTTTTTTTATTCAATCATTATCCATTTTACAAACCTGGTTTGTAAAAACGCGTCATATGACGCACGAAAACCAAGGTTTGTCGACAAACCTCCTTTGTGAATTCGGGCCTTAGACTTTGATCACTTATTGCTTTTTTAGCGTTCCTCATTTTCGTAAATTACCTTTTACAACATTGCATTATTCAGCTATATGTATAAAGAGCTACGGTCAAGGCTTAAGGGCACACTTCCTGTCACATACAAAAGAAGCTTACTCTGAATGTGGCCTGCCATTGACCCTCGCCGGGGACAAAGGCCGTTGCCCTAGCTACAGGCAGAGATCCTTACATAATACCTATTGTTCAGGGGGTTCCCCTTGAACATAGGATCCCCCTGAACAATAGGTATTACATGTACGTAAGTATGTAAGCCACTGGCTACAGAGTGTAGGGAACAGTTGCAAGCCGAGAATGAATAGAATAAGTGAATGGCCAACTGTCTTTGAGTTACGTTTAGCTAGCGGCAGAGTGTCCCCCCCACTTTTTCAAGTTCCCCCAAAGTGCCCCTTTGTATGTAGGAAAAGTACCTATTTTACTTTGACAAGTGTCCCTATTAATTTGTAAAAGTGCCCCTTCCCCTTTTCAACTCTGACAAGTGCTCCTTTTCTTTTGACACACACCCCTTTTCCTTCGACGAGTTCCTATTTTCCTTTACAATAAGTGTCCATTTTCCATTTTCATTAGTGTCCTTTTAATCTCTAGTAAGTATCCCTCTTTAAGTACGAGAAGTGCCCCTCTTCACTTTTGATAAATGCCCCCATCAACTCCGATAAATGCCCCTATTAAAATCTGATCGGTGCCCCTTTTCTTTCAACTAAAGCTTCTTTTTTTTTTATCTCTCTCTCTCTCTCTCACTCTTTCTTTCAATATCTTTCCATTCCCCCATATCTTTCTCGCCTCTCTTTCCCTCATTATGTTCCCCTCTTACTTTATTTATTTGTCTCTTTTCCTCTCTGTTTCATAGCCTTCTCATTTCTGTTAATTTTACTAGGTTTCGCCCTTCTTTTTTTCATCACTCTATTTCACTCTTTCTTTTCTTCCGGTCAACTTTTTAGTTTTCCCTCTTTTCTCTCTTTTTTTCTGTTTATCTTTATCGTGCCTTTCAACCCTCATTTTCCTTTTATATGTTCCCTTCTCCTCGTAGCTATCTTTTTTCCTTTACTATTTCATCTATCATGTCTTCCTGTTTCTGACGTTTTCCTACCTTGTCTCACGGATTAGTATACGACACATGTTAGTGGAAAGTGCTGAGGTTTATAAACGAATATAAAGTACAGTAATTATAAACTGATGTACACTGAAGGTAAGTTGTGTATACAGCAATAGGTGTCAGCAGGATAAGATTTAACGATTGTTGCAGCTTGTCGCATCGTTCTACCAATGCCCTTATAACCCTAATAACTATTTACACGATTACACGATTCAGAGCGACATTCTTCAATCGTGTAAATTTACACGATTACACAGTTACACGATTGTTACATCTGGTCGAATCATCCGACCAATGCACTTAACTATTTACACGATTACACGATTCAGAGCGACATTCTTCAATCGTGTAAATTTACACGATTACACAGTTACACGATTCAGGTGAATCGTGTAAACCGTGTAATCCTAAAAATAAATCGTGTAATCGTGTTGCGGAGATTTTCGGCGTGTACTGTATTTAAGGGACTTTTTCCCCTTTAATTTGTTATACAAGATGATTCATGGAATTGACTCTGCTACATGTGTCATTGTACTTAACAAAATGTATTATGAGATACAGAGTTACAATATTGAAGGATTACAATGCCTTCAAGTAAATATAAGTATTTATAAACTATTCCTTTTTCCTCCCTTTTCCTTTTTTATTTTCTAATCAAGTTCCTCAAACCTCTTGAATTTTGGATGATATAAAGGAAAACTTAATTGTCTTGTAATGAAGATTACGTCATATTTCTTTTTTTGTTAGTCTATATATATATATATATATATATACATGTATATATAAATATGACAATTGTTTGCAACAAGAAAGTCGTCGTGAAATAAGTGCAATCTACTTATATACCAGTGTTGCAAATTACATGTATGATTGAAAAGGTTAAGTGTAGAATAAATAAAATTACCTTACATTTCTATACACGTGTACCTCCTTCTCACACGGAAGTCTTGAAAACAAGGAAAATAAACTATTATAAAACTGAAACCGTCTTCATTTGTATAGAGATTGTTGAAAAATTATGGTTGAAAACTGATGTGTAAAAAAAATAACAAGTAAATCAATCATTCTTGTAAGTTGTCATATTGTTGAATTTCACAAAACAAGGAAATTTACAGTGTGCTTGTATGTATAGTATTAAATGAAATGAAACAGTGCTCTATAAGAAACTGTGTCATAAACACTTAAATATATGCAGCTTCATTATCTGTTGGCAATTTGTTTGTAGCTGACCCTGAAGTTTGTTTATTAAGCTCTTGTTCAGTTGGGTTTATTTAATGTAGAAAGAAGTTAGGTTCCTCTTCTTTATATGGAGTAGAGATGGTTGTATATTCATCTGTTTATGAAGCATGGAAAGAGTGAGGGGAATCTCTAATTGTGATAGAATGGATGGATAAGGAATAAAAATGTGACAAAAATCATTTATTGAATAATGAAGAGCAAGATATAACAATAAGGGTGTAATGTATTTCGTATTTCACAGCACTGTAGACAAAAACTTCACAAGGGTAGGTCACTGAAAAAAATATCAAGACTTTGCTTTTATTACGCTGTCACATATATGTCCACATTTCTATTTTTACTAAAAAATAAAATTGCATCTAGGCATTTCTTTGAGAGTTATTTTAACTTTCGAGGTTAAATAATTAGTCCATACAAGACGATTTCAGAGAATTTTTTAATTCTGCTGTGATAAGAATTAAACTTCTTTAAACTGTTCGGAAAATTATGTATTGTATAATAGCGTCCATCCTACAATCACAGCTCGGCAAATTTGCAGCATTTTCAGGAAAAATCTTACAATAATCATGTGGAATATGGTGATTTTTTCCATGAAAATCACATAGATCTTTCTTAGGTGTCTCAGAACTATGCCAACATAGAAATAAAAGTGATAAAATCAGCATTTAGAAATGCTTAGTGATGTTTGTTTGTTATTCACAAAGTTAGTTGGAAAGTGTGCCAAAACTGATGCCTCTGGCAATCAATAGTGGAACGAGAAATAAATGAACTCGTGATGCGAAAATATACATGGAGATTCTTTTAAAAGATTGAGATTCATACCAGATTTCGTTTCAGTTCATGTAACCTGATATGGCAGTACCAACACGTTTTAGATAAAACAAATATAGTGTTTTTAATCAGATGATGTTGCTTAGGTGCTTAGGGATTTTGACCAAAAAAATTCTAATCTCTTCTTCAAATGCTGAAAACACTTTTTTTTTTAAATCTTGAAAGGACACTGCTGAGATATCACAACATTTTGTTCATCAAATTCTTTTTGAAATAAGTGTTTTGATGTTGGCAGGATGTTGTTTGCTGTTTCCAATGATATATGAATAAAATACTCCAAATACACCAGAGATTTGCTTTGCCTTATTTTTAGATTTAAAGTATCTTAAGACTTTATTTGAATGTTGAACTTCAGAATAATCAACCACAAGGTCCATTTTAAAGGATTTCAGTGGTGTGAGGTGGATTTCGAGAATTGGTGAATGGATTATAGTTATAAGGGCATTTGGAATTTACACAAATTCCCCCTGTCCTCCTTCCCCCCCCCCCCCAACAAAAAACAGCAACAAAGAAGCCTGAAAGAAACACAAAAACCTAAACAAATACAGGTTATTGATTTTTGTTGTTGATATTTTAAAAGTAAGACAAGCCATGCTCCAGGCTTAGATCAGCCACAGAGTGAGGTAGATATGATAATGATGGTTATGATTATTTTGCTAGTGATGACATTGGTACTGGTGATGGTAGCAATGTTGATGATAATGATTCTGTGTCGTAATATTTAGAACTCCCTTGTCAGCAAATATGGTTCTACAGTGCACTATTGAAGAAACATATATATTCATCGTCATCATCATACAAAATCCCCAATCATTACTGCCATGCAATATCATCACAGGCATCAAAATCATGATCATAACCACGATCATTGTCACTTGCAGTTGTATCATCATCATCATCATCATCATTATCATCATGATCATCAACCATGGGCGTAAATCTGCAATTGATACCTATTGTTCAGGGGGGATGATCTATTCATTCATTCCCCCCCCCCCTGAACAATAGGTATTACGTAAGGATTAACGCCCATGTCATCAACATATCATTATCATCATCATCTCAGCAGCAGCAGTCATTATCACCATCATTATCATCATAAAAATAATCATCTCAGCAGCAGCAGTCATTATCATCATCATCATCATTATCAACATCATATCATTTTCATCACCACCACCATCATCATCATCAACATCACCATCATCATTGTCATCATCATTATCATCATCATCAGCATCATCATCATCAGCATATCATTATCACCACTACCACCACCACCACCATCATCATCGTCATCATCATTATCACATCACATCATCATCAACATCCTCTCTGAAACTTTAAACCCCAATTATAAAACGGGCACACCTTTGATTGTGATCTATGTATACTCTATTCATTATTACATGCAGAATATTTACACACAATAAACAACGGTCAATAAAGCACTACCCCGGTATACATCACAAATGCACAATTTCCTATCACAATACGTACATTTAGATATCAAAATTTATCTATTATCGTAATAGCGTAATATTTCTTTTGTATGCAATATAAACAATTATAAAACACCTACAGCTCAAACGTATAGAACACTCAAAAGTTCCCTTATAGGATAGTATTATGATAAAGAGTGTGAGAGGTATAGCGAAAGAGAGAGAGAGGGGAAGAGTGAGAAGGAGAGAGAAATACAGGGGAGAGAGAGATGGGAGAGAAAGAGAAATGGGGAGATGGAGAGGGGGAGAGAGAGAGAGAAGGGGAGAGATATAGAAGGGAGAGAGAGATATATATAGAGAGAGAGAAGGGGGAGAGATATAGAAGGGAGAGAGAGATATAGAGAGAGAGAGAGAAGGGGGAGAGATATAGAAGGGAGAGAGAGATATATAGAGAGAGAGAGAAGGGGGAGAGAGAAAAATGAGCAAAAAATAGAAAATCCGAAACCATATTTATGTATAATTATATCAACTGGCTTTAAAATAACATTGAGAATACTCCCATTTTCCTTCAGGTTCAACGGAATGATTTGCATCACTTGATTTATGAGGTATATGCAGCTAAAAGAAGAATGAAAGATTTAGAAAAAAAATCAATGTTGCATGGGCCTATTCCACTGATCATTGTTGCGTAGTCGACTTCAAACATTCCTGTGCTTGGCTGTTCCCTCCTGAAAGGCTTGTCCGCTGCGAGATGGCCGAGTGGCGATGCGATCCGATTGAGGACTTCCGGGACCCGCCCTGTTGGATGATGGTGGAGATGGTGTAGAGGTAAGGGTTGAGGGAGGAGTTGATTGGGAGAACAAAGACGATGGTCCAGACATACGTCACCACGGGGATGACGGCAGACCCGCTCTGGGAGAGGATGCCCATGATGATCACCGGCATCCAGCACAGGAAATCCGTCCCAACAATGACCGCCATTTTCATAGCCATCCTGATTTCACTCTTGCGCTCCGTCTTCCGGCCAGACGACACGGCGGCCTTACGAACGTAGACGAATATGGCGACGTAGAACACGAATACTGCTACGAAACAGATCAAGTTTAGACCGATAAAGACCGCGTTGGAATACGCCCAGCCGGAATTACCGGTCGAGACAAAGTGGCGGTCTAATGTTTCCCCATCACCAGACTCGACCCAAACACCCTGGAAGCCGGTTGCTGGGGTGACAAGCGGCAACCCGATGCAGACATCGGAGTAACCATAGAAGCCGCTGATGCGGTCGCCGATGATGATGGGGATGATGGCGAGGAGGATAGCCAAGAGCCACGTGAAGCATAAAGCAATCCGAGAAGAGCGGGTGCGGAAGCGGAACTTTCCGAAGGGAAAGACGATGCAGATGAAACGATCAAGGCTTATCAGGACCAGGAGAAACACAGATGCTTCACTCGAAACCATGGCAACGAAACCTGACAACTTACAGGCAAAGCTGTTGCGCCATGTCGCTGCCTGCAGGTAGTAATCCTTACCGAAAAAAGCATCTGCACTGCCGATGAAAATCATATACATGCCCATGAGGAAGTCGGCTACTGCCAGGTTGGTGATGAAGTTCATCTGTACGGAGTTTTCGCGGTCCAGTCTACGCTTGTAGGTACGCCAAGCAATTACCAGAATGTTGCCTACCAGAGCGCTTATACCGATGAGCCAGATGCAGGTCCTCAGTAACGTGTTGCGTAGCAACCCCTCACAGGTCGCAAAAGGATTCGGTGGTGTGTTGCAATCTTCAGATGGCTTGAAGAGGCAACACAGCTTGGGGTCATCTGCCGTCCTTGAAGTATAGAAGTAAATAGAAATAGAAAAACGTTTTTGAACTACTTAGTTGGTTTCATTTCCAACAACAAGTAACATAGGCAGTTTAGATGGTTATTCATGTAAAAATAACAATTATATGAGCAACGTTCTTCGATACTACTGCGATATACATATTAGGGAATGGTGATGAAGTTGAGAAAGTATCAAAATGTACTATCCTTAGTAAGAATAAATCACCAAAATGTTTCACAAAGTAAGATTCATTAAACTTGATGCTGGATGATCGGCCGAATTCGATCTTTACAGGATTAACTAACCAATCTTTTATTTGGTATTTTATAGTACTCTTGATTCAATTATTCTCATAATCTCATCTGCATCTCATTTGTATTCTGTATTTAAATACAAATGTCCATCAGATTGTAAAGGAATCAGCTAGCATGTGATGATGGTTATATACTGTAGTGAAATAAATTTAACTTAAACTTTATAAACTTGGACTTGAACTAGAACTTTAAACGTACACCGCAGAACTTGGGTACATTGCAGGGGAGATGTGTTCGTAGGCTTATGATATGTCGGATAAAAGGTGACATTTCATCGGCTTGAAAAGAAAGTTTTCTCTAATTATCATGTTTAGGAAATAACCTATATAGCCTGTAATTCTCATGTATAGCTTACAAGAAGAGAAAAAAAGCGAAGTAGTTAGATGTGAATGAGATTATAGTACAAAAGCAAGCAAATATTGAATAGCAAAAGTTAACTTACAATTCTAGTAAGTTATCTGTTCCAAAGGCTGCTCCTTCGTCTACATTGACCAATTGCGTTTCAGATATTATCCTGAAATAAAAGTGAAATATAAACCTCATTGTAATTGTCCACGCAGTGTTAGTTACATCGAATAATACAGAATATACAAAACATGTAGGTCATTAATTAAAGGAAGATAAGTCAAACCGAGACTAATTACTTTTCAATCAAAGCTAGAATCGGATATTGCTACCCGAGATAGTAATGTATTTTTAGGATCAAAGTCGTGTTAGAAATTCAAAATTTCAATAAAGGTTATATTCGACATGTTTAAAAAATAACGAACGGCTTCCCATAAAACATCATCTCCAGTTATTGGCAACCAACCACTTTGTAAAAATACAACTTTATAAGATTTATTCATATTTTAGTCAATCCGTAATAAAGTTATTTAAATTATAATATTCGATAAATTTGATGAATGGTTGATAAAAAAAACCCGTAAGGGTCGTTAAAGTACCTCATGTTAGTTTATATATTATTTCATTTATTTGTACGTTTTTTTTAAATAATTCGTCGCTGTTTTCACGAAGTGACGGTAGTGAAAAAAAATTGCATTCACTTTGCGTTACGATTTTCCTCACTACCGTCACTTCGTGAAAACAAGGACGAATTACTACATAATAAAATATTCTACAATTGTTTTTCTTAAAAATGGAAATTCTCAAAAAATATCATTCCGCAACGCTTGGAATTGACCTCTAGCATCTTAGCTCTTCAGTATATTTTTCACGTTACTTACAGCGTTTCTAGACGGGACAGTCCTCTGAAGGCATGGGCGTCGATCACGACTAAAGGGTTATCGCTGAGGTCTCTAAAGAAAGTCAAATTATAAAATCGCAATAATGAATATAGAGAGAAGGTTATTTGATATTACAGAAATGAAACTCATACTGTATTTCAAAATCGAAGGTAGAAAAATAGGATTTAATACTGAGATTGCAATCATTTGATTAACCTTTCATTTGCAACCAATGCCAATTCGCACGGTCTCTCGTTTAGTAGGCGTCAGTTGACAGAAGGACATACATCATGCCCCTCTTTTTCATTTGGAAATACATGATTGGAACGTCAACAAGTTTTTTTTTTAAAAACAAGAACAAACATGAATCAGTAACGAATATTTAAGACAAACATCAATATTTTGCAAAACAATGAAATCTACTCACAGGTATGTCAGGTTTGTCAAGCTGACAAAAGTTGAATTTCTAATCGAAGCGATCTTGTTTCCACCCAGATGTCTGGTAAAACAAGAACATCAATATTAGCATATTCGAGGATTTAGACATTGTAATTATGTGACAATAAAGGTCAATTTCACACCTTGTCCTATTATTTCAAGTGAATGTGATCTATTCTTTCATTTCAATACATTAATCCACATTTAAATGATTTGTTTCTCTCTGCATTAAGTCTTTCGTAACGATTTACTCTCCCCCTATGAATTTGTATATTCTATAGCAAAGCTGGGACTCGGACGCACTTACACATGTCCAAGCTTTAATAGTGAAAGAAACTTGTTCTCCTACATAGCTGTATAATTATCTTAGAATAGGCAGCAGTAGGTTTATACACCGTTACAGAAAAAAACCGGGGACATTTGGCCAAGGGTATAGATAATACATGGGGAGAGTAATCGCAAACATTTCTTTTTCAACTTGGAAACCTCGAATTTGGAGCAGAGTCAAAGTTGAAGAGGAATAAAATTATATAAACTAGCAAATGTAAGTATATTGAATCCTGCTTCCAATGGTTATGGTGTTCATTTTAATCTATCGCAGCAGAGAATTCACTAGTCGTCGTAGGAGTTTTATCCCATGAGTAACTCGGGCCATAAACTATTCTCTGTATATCATTCCCCTTTTCATTTCAAAGTTCGTTAACATTTAAAGGCAGGGTTTTCTAATGACACTACTTCAGATTAATGTATACTGCCATCTGCTGCCTAGCATGTCCAGACGTGTCTACAGTCATGTCACACAATGCATATGATTAGTTGTATGACGTGCGCGTACTGGAACCGGAAATCGCTTTATGTACGCCTTCACCGAAAGATGGCCCAATTGAAAATAAATTACATCAATGACTGCGACGTCGGTAGAATAACCTGCCTTTAAAGCAAAACCCAGATAAATGGCGTATACTTACAATGAATCTAAATTTGTTAGACCTTTGAAAACTCCCTTCGGCAAGGACGATATATAATTTGATTGAAGATCACTGTAAAATAAGGAAGTACAACAATGTATATACAAAAGTTTACAAATTAAAAATTGCCATTTTTAGTGTATAAAAAGGTATAATTGTATTTAATACAAACGAAGTCAATTTAATAGCTAGGGAGCTGCATAAGTACTGAAGACCTCTGTAAAATATGACAATATAAAGTAACTAAAAACAAAGGAGGACACTTTCAAACTCGCTATTGTTCGTTTTTATAAGTTCTTTGTAAGGAAGAATTAGAGGTATACAGTAGGTATTGAACATCTCTGTGAAATATGAAAATACAAAGTTATTAGATACCAAGGTTTACATGCACTTTCATAATGATAAATCGGAAGTTTAGGGTGTATAAGAAAATTACAATATTTAGTACAAATGACATTACTTCTCACATAATTAAACATTATTTCGGCCTAATTAGCCTGCAGAAAAATCCTTTATACTAATAAATATATCTTTTTAATACTCACAGGTAACGAAGAGATACTAGATGAATGAATGTTGATGGCTCTAGTACTTCAATAGAATTGCTCTGAAAAACCCTGCTCACATGATAGAAACATTAAAGAACACATTATGTGGAGGAGGATTAATGGAAATGTGTATATATATATATATGCATATGTTTCAGAGGCGGCTCCATGGCTTTTTATTGGGGCGGTGGTCCATTCCCAGGAACTCTTACATGGAAAGAGGAAGAAGAAGAAGAAGAAGAAGAAGAAGAAGGAGAAGAGGAAGAAGAAGAAGAAGAAGAAGAAGAAGAAGAAGAAGAGGAAAAAGATGAAGCAGAATAATAATAAGAAGAAGAAGAAGAAGAAGAAGAAGAAGAAGAAGAAGAAGAAGAAGAAGAAGAAGAGGAAAAGAATACACGAGGACAAAGATATAGAAGGAGAAGAAGGAGGTGACATTGTCCAGGAAATGAACACAGCGCCATTTAAGGTAAATTACAGACACAACAGGTGAGGTGGAGGGGGATTTCCCTTTATATGCTTTATAAGAGCAGGTGAAATGCAATTTATATGACGCCTGATGAGCAACAGAAGTAACGCTTGCAGGGCAGGAGTTATTGTTTAGGGCTAAATACAATGCAATTTCTCTGAAAATTATTACCATGGGCAAGAATGTTGTTGATGACTTGACTTGATTTTTATCGAAAAAGAATGATAATGAATGCCAAATTAAAGATTTTTAAAGCTTATTTTAATTTTCTTTTTAAAATTCATGGTATCAAAGGCAATAGAGTCATAAAATGAAATTGAATACAGTGTGTGCAGAAATATTTATGTATTTGTTACATTTTGATAAAAAGTAATTAAGCAAAACCACAAAATATGGAAGATTGTAGCGAAAGGGTTAACCATACTCACATGTCTTCGAGGTTGCTAAGCCCTTCAAACATCCCAGAACTAAGACGAGTGATATCATTATATTCATGTATTTGTTACATTTTGATAAAAAGTAATTAAGCAAAACCACAAAATATGGAAGATTGTAGCGAAAGGGTTAATAATGTTTACCATACTCACATGTCTTCGAGGTTGCTAAGCCCTTCAAACATCCCAGAACTAAGACGAGTGATATCATTATACATCATATTCCTGGATGTACAGCGTAGATATAGACAATGAAATTTGAGATACATATTGTTAAATTGTATCAATTACCTACCCAGGTGTGTCGATAAGTAATATTTACTCACAAGTCCCATTTTTGTAGGTAATTGAGAGTGTATTAAACTTGCAATGTCTCTTTATAAAAGTAATATTTGAGGTTCTTATTTTAAATGCAGTATAGGGAAATAAAACCCCAAACATACAGAACAATCCACAGTTTTTGTGATTTGTAATCTTTAAGTCAGATTTCAACGACTCGTTCCACCGATGCATTATGGTTCATGGGCATTATATGATGGTTCCTTTTAAGTTCAAGTTCAAGTTTAATATTTATTTAATTCCATAGTAAAAAAAAAAAACAGTGACATCAAAATATTACTTTTACATAAATATGATTAACATAGTACAATATTGACAGTAAAAACAAACAAATAGGAATTAGGTTGCTGTATAAAAACCCCAGAGGGTTTGTCTGGACAGCCACCAGAAAAAAAAAACAGTATAGGAATCATACAAATGATATATGGTATTTGAATAAACAATAAAAAAAAAAATTAAAAAAAAAACAAATCAAAGTAGAACATAAGCAAAAACAAAAACATACATGTAGACCGCACAACCCTAAACAAATTTGCACTGTGGAGTAATTGAGTGTTTTTACGATGTAAGATTTATTAGAAATAAGATATGATTTAAGCTTTCTTTTAAATGAGTTCAAACTATTAATAGAAGTAATGTCTGACGGTAAGGAATTCCATACAGAAGGAGCTTTGTGTCTAAAAGAGTGTAATTCATATTGTTTTGTAATAGCAGATAAATAATAATTCATTCTATTTCTAGTATTATAATTATGAACTGAACAGTTTAAAGTTAACATAATGCCTAAATTATTGGGTAATAAACCAAGCTTGTGTTTAAAAAGTAGTATTGCATTAAAATAATTATTTAATTTATAAATATTCAGTATGCTTAACTTTATAAATAAGGGTTTAGTATGTGCCAAGTATGAAGATGATGAGGCAATTCTTACAAATCTCTTTTGCAATATAAAAATGGCTTCCAATTTGGAAGAATATGTATTAGTCCATACAACATTACAGTATGATAAGTAGGGCAGGACTAAAGTATTATACAATGTAATAAGAATGCATTTTGGTAGGATATGGCATAATTTGCTGATGACACCGATATTCTGTGATAACTTCTTTCTGACATAAGAGATGTGAGTCTTCCATGATAAATCATGATCAATGTAAACACCCAGAAATTTTGTATAATATACACGTTCAATTGATGAATTATTGAGTTTCACAACTAAGTTTTGCAAAGTATTATACTTTTGTTTCTGTTTCACAGTATAAAATAACATATAATTTGATTTATCTATATTTAATGTAAGTTTATTGGCATTAAACCATTTAGAGACCTTTAGTAGTTCGTTATTTAAATTAGTTGACAATGATAAATGATCATCTGTTGAGTACAAGATATTGGTGTCATCAGCAAACAATACAAATTTTAATATTTTAGAACAATTTGGGAGATCGTTGATAAACAAAAGAAATAACAAAGGACCTAGAATCGATCCTTGAGGAACACCAAATGAAATATTAGAAGAATCTGAAATGACATTGTTGTAAGACACAACTTGAGTTCGATTATGTAAATAACTTTTAAACCATGAATAAGGTAGTCCTCTAATACCGTAATAACTTAATTTATGTAACAATATAGAGTAATCAATTAAATCGAATGCCTTACTCAGGTCAAGAAAAACACCAACTGTATATAATTTATTTGCAAAAGAATTAACAACATAATCATGTAAGTCAATAAGTGCCAAATTCAGTAGAAACATTTTTCATAAAACCATATTGAAATTCATTTAATATAGTATTTTTATACACAAAATCAAAAATCCTATTATAAGCCAGCCTTTCTAATATCTTAGAAAAGACGGGAAGAACAGATATTGGTCTATAATTTGAAATATCATGGATATCTTTTTTTTGTAGACAGGTGTAACTTTTGCTGTTTTTAATTTCAAGGGTACTATTCCAGATGAGAATGATAGGTTGTAAATAAAGCATAAAGGCTTCACAATACCATAAATAATTTTTTCACAACAAGGGGACTAATGTCATCAATGCCACTACTACTTGATGAGTTCATATTTTTAATAATTTCCAATATTTCAGTTTCTTTTACAGGTTTTAAAAATATGGTGTTGTTACATCTTCCAGATAAAAAATCAACAAAGTTATCATCTTGTTGTATAGAATTAGCCATAGAGGCTCCTATATTTACAAAATATGTATTAAAGTTATTAGCAATATCCTTTTCATCATGTACATCTATTCCATTTATAGTAACATATGATGGTAAATTCTTCTTACATTTTCCAAGTAATTCATTTATCATATTCCATGTTTTTTTCATATTTCCTTTAAAGAGCTGAAATTTAAGTTTATAATAGTTTATGCGTGCACAACGTAATATTTTAGTAACATTATTCCTGACCTTGACATATCTTTTCTTATTGTAATCAGTACAATTTTTCCTGTACTTCTTAAACAATTTATTTTTTAATCTTATCTTTTTTTAAATGCTTACAGTTATCCATGGCTTTTTAATAATTTTTCTTTTGGTCTTACTGTCTCCCATTACAAATACATCATCGTAAACTTTGGATAACATATCTATAAACATATTATAAATTATAAATATATTATATAATATTCAAGCAACTGTCATTAATTAGCTTATTTTCAAATAATAATTTTTGATTTTAAAAACAATATATTGCATGTTTTAATTGTTGTTAAACTCGGTAGCCTCGAAAAAGGGTTTGAAGTCGAAATATGAATCACATAAAATACATACGTTTACAGTGTTGTACATAACCTTTTTGGCGGTGACGTCTTTTGATCTACTTATGTATTTATTTAATGACTACCTTATCTATTTATCTATCTGTATTTCTATTTGCTTGTTTGTGTACATATGTTTTGGTGTCAAATAATGTCTCAAGGCCAGCTTCCTTTTTGATTTCAAAATATTGCCAAGAAATTCTGATAACACGTAACACGAAATCCACTGCGCATCTACCTTTGTCATGAAATCAATCAAACGGCAAGGGGTCCAACAAATAATCAAATTATCAGCTATAATGCCCTAACAAGCTCGAACATACAACTGGACCTTCTGTTCTGAAATCCAATAATTGCGGCCTTCCAATAAACCACAGGTCATTTGCAACACGAGCCGTTTAGTCATAGAGATGTAGACTGGACAAAGCAATGAGGTATTTAATAAACATAGGCGGTGATAATATGTGCATCATGATGAGAAATGGCGCTGCGAGTAGCGATTTCATTATATGTTTTGGTCAATGCAATTACTAATGAAATAAAATTAGTTTTTTTTTTCTTCTTCTTGTTATGGTGCGGACACTAGGAGTTGTGACAGAACTTTGCCAAATAATCCATATGTATATTAAGGCCTGCATTTAAAAACAAAGTATCCATTCTGTTTTGTTAATACAAGGTAGTCTCTTCAGGCCAAAACACTGCTTTGCTAGAGAGCCCTGTATTACATTATACGATTAAAATACAATGTAAACTAATTAACGAATTTATAAACAATAAAATAGTACAGTGGATGATAAAAAAAACAACAACATAGTTTCATTAATACAGATGAAACCTAAAGGGTCAGTATTTCGTGATCCGTTTCCATTCTCCGTTCCCTTTCGCATTAATATGCCTGCATATCATGTTAAGTCACAAATGGCATAAGCCTCGACCCCACCTGCACAATTCCTTCGTCATAGTAATTATTGATAATAGAAGAAACAATAATGATATTTTGTTTTACCAAGGGAAGCCTCTTCAGCTTCCATGCTTTTTTCTCGAGGGCCCTGCAATTATTGTTATCCAAGAAAATACCTGGTACCTATTTACACCTGGATGGAGAGTGACAAATGTGGATTGATTTCTTGCAAAAGGACGTATATAAGCCGGGCTTTGATTCGAACTCTCGCCCCTATACCACGATACCTCACCCATACCACAAAATGTTTTGTCAATACAAAATTGCAAGACAGTCGTAAACTAAAAAATTGGAATTTAAAATTTAACAGTAAAAATCACCCCCAAAAAGACGTTGCATTTTTCTTAGAGGCCCAAATGTTACACAAGTTTGGATTTTGATAGGAAGGCTGTTAAGAACCGCAGTACCTTGATAAGACAAATTTGTTAATTGTTTTGTAAAAGAAGTTGATGAAAAAGTTAGATATCCAAAAGATGTTAATTCAAATATATTCTGGGATAGACACATATGCGACTTCACATATTTTTCCTTTCCGTTTGAAATATTGAGTGATCAGATGTCCATCCTTGAAATTATGACATTAGCGCGATCGCAAAAACTTAGGCATAACGACGGTTGGCACCCCCCTCTTTCTTTCCCCTATTTTGTAGTTCCCTTTGTAGTTACACATCAGTTAATTTAATTACTCATTATTCCTAGGTATCATTTGAGGTGTTCACACTTGTACAAGCATTGCTTTTTAGTGGACCCCTCTGTTTCCAACATTTATTTCTTAAATTTGTTTTAAATGCTTATAATTGATTTGTAATGTTTTGTTGGAAACATGAATAAATTTGAATTGAATTGAATTGAATACAATAAAGGTTTAAATATAGAAATCATGACGAAAATATGCAAACATCACATTTATGTTGTACTACTTGTCATGTTCACATACTTCAACGGTAACCTACAATAGGATAGAAATTGCCTAAGGTTGATTTCTTGAAAGTCTTCGCAATCGAGTTTTTTAAGCAAAAAAAAGAAGAAAAGACTTACAGCATCGAAAGTGAATCAAGACCTCTGAAAGCACCAGCTTCAATTGTCTGGAGTCCATTCATAAATATGTACCTGAGCAAAAAATCATATATTATGATTCAGTAACATTGCATCTTTACATCCAATATTGATGACGGAGAATCGTTCTTCTGTATATCACGCCTTGTGTAAAAGTAAAAGAAGTGCATGTAATTTGAGACTATATATATATATATATATATATATATATACTTCTACATTAAATATATTGATGATATTACACACGCATTTAATATATACATTTATTATATTACAACAACAACGAATGGGCCAGTGATAATTCTTAATTATTCAATTATTCCCTTATTATGCTATTTGAATTATTATCCTGCCCATAATTATTTCGATCCAGTTGTTGAGGTACATGAGTATTTTACATGAGCAAATAATTTTATATCTTTCAAAATGACGACTTACATTTCCTTCAATCTCCTGAGTCCTCTAAAAGTGTCTGCTTGCAATCGAGATATTTTATTTTTCATGAGGTCCCTACAGGAAAAATGAATTGACAAAACAAGACAAAAATGAATGTTAAAAATGATTATACCAGTTTTAAGTGAAAATATGCCACTAAATGTAGACGTTTGTAAACTTACATTAGTATTGCTAAATAAAATATATGTTTCTTATAAATTGCGGGGGGGGGGGGGGAGCTGCCGGCCCCGGCATTGTAGTCTTCTACCCACAGTGTGAAAAAATGTGTGGCAAATATATCACAATGGGCGTGTAGTTGCGTGTATGATGTTCCCTATAGTTACCCTATGTTTCCAACAACGTAACAAAGTGTTTATTACATGTGCAATGTTTTAACATACAAATACGTTTTCTAGAATGCGACATTAATAACAAAATATAAAAGTGTTTCAAATCCACAAATGTGTGACACAGTGTGGACACGTTGCAGAACACTAAAAGAGGGGGCTTAAGCATCCTTATCATTCTAACTATTTTCAAGACGCACCTACATCAATGGGCACGTTCCTCAAATGGGAACCCCACAAATAAAACAAAAACTCAAATTGACGCTTGTTGTAATTTTTTACGCGGTCACTCGGCAAAAGATCTGTCCATGCCTTATATTTAAAAAGCACAGAGATGTGTAGTTAAAACAAAATTATGAACACTTTTTACAACAGCCAAACAGACGCCGGTGTAAGGAGTCAATGAATATCGATTTAGGCGATGTAGCAAGCATGCAGTTCAAAGTTCTCCGCCGCAGAATTGTCCCGCAATCGGAGGACATGATTTGTCCTCAAATAAGGGCTCTCCGGTGATCCTACATTTGCTCATGTGACAGTTCCAGCTCCGGGCTATATTTCGTCAAAAGTATCCGGTATGGTTAGGGTTACGGTTAGGGTTACAATTGGGTTCTTGGTTAGGTTTGGGGTTAGAGTTACATTCAGGTAAAGTGTTAGGTTCAGGGATGAAGTCGGGAATTCTATAAGTGTAAAGGAAATTTCCCTGGTGCTTTCGCAGGAGCATTTGTCGTGCAACGGGCTTTACGTCCCCGGACTATGCAGTATAATCACTTACATGTAGACGAGGAACCGAAGTGGTGCGAATGTTCCGGGTTTGATCACAGTAAACGGAAAAGAGCGAATGGACCTGCAACGAATAAAGCACATGATTACAGAGATGCGAAAGATACTCAAAGAGATGGAGAGAGCAAGATAAAGAGAGCAAGAGGGATCATACTTTATACACATACACACACAAAGAATTCTCTTTAAGTAGCAGTACAAATATAATTTTTTCTTAAGAAATAAACGACAACAACAACGATTTTCGTTTTCATCATCCTAACAAGAATGATTGTTGAGCAACTTGAGCGAGAATGGGGCATGTCACTGAGCGGCGAATGCTTAAGAACGTTGCAAATTGGGATTCTCAAACTTTTCTGACGAATGTTGGCGAAAATCAGCGACGTTTAATGACGTTTAGCGACAATTAGCAACATGTGAGCGAATGTTTCCGAAAATGTTTGCTAAAGGCAGTTGGCGACTATTGGCGACTATAAGCAAATGTTAGTGACAGTTTTTACGAATATTAGCAACTATTTGCCAATCATTTGCCACTATTTGTGAACGTTTGAGACCTTTTGCTAACTCCTTGTACTCAATGGGTCGATTTTTATAAAGGAACCATATGACAACGTGGTCGCTAGCATTGGCGAAACAAAGAGAACTGGCTCTAATGGAGCTCTCACACTCTGCCGTGTAGGCCTACCGTCTACCTGCCGGGCTATTAAAAAAACAACAGAGTCCAGAACGTTGGGTTTTGAGCGAACTTGTCGCCGGCCGCAAAAAAAAATTCATAAAATTAATCTTTTCACCGTTTCGTTGCCATCTTCTGACCGTTCTCACCGGGCGCATACCGGGTGTTGAACGTGCTTCTACCGTCTTCACCGCCCAGATTGACTTTTGTTGAAAATTTTGGCCGTTTCCATACCGGGCCCATACCGGGTCTCGAACGTGTGCACCGGGTTTGTAGCAGCCACCTACCAGTCACTTAGCGTCCCCTCACCGCTCGGAGCGTCCTGTGAGCGAGTCCCCGGACTGCTGACGTCATGACACGACTGCCATAAATACCATGATTTGAACGGCAACGGTCAGTCCGCTCTCCATTTTTCATCACCGTTCTGTAACGGGTTATGAGCGTGTTGTGGACGTGTTCATACAGTGTGACCGTTTTCATAACGTATTCATACCGTCCTCATACCGTTCAACATCGTCCTCTTGCCGCTTACTTGCGACCGGTGCCAGCCGGCCAAAGTTTTGAACATGCCCAAAACTTTCGCCGGGTCCCACCGGGTATAAATAAGCGCCAACGCCCTATTAACGTGTTGCCCGCTTTGATAACGAACCACCGTGTGCCCTCGCCGTTCTCCACCGTCCGCAGACATTTTCGCGCACGGTGGCACACGGTAGGCCTACACGGCAGAGTGTGAGAGTCACTTAACAAGAAGCGACACCGTCTTACAACCGTTTGCAAACGCTTACGACTGTTTTGCAAACGTCTGCGACTTTTTGCGGAAAAATAAATTCCCCAGCGACAAGAAAAATGCTTGCGAACTTTCTTGCAACCTTTTGCAACCTTTTACGAACCCTGGAGAAACCCAAAATTCGCTACGTTCGCAAGCATTCGTCGCTCATTGAAATAGGGCCTTTCGGTTCAACAGGCAGACGCTTTGCCGACTGATCCAACTCGCCTCCTCATAATATATATTGACTATATAATTATATCCTATGTAGAACTGTTGCTACGCATGTAAATTTAAAGGCCCATAAATAAAAGATTGGCCTAATTCATGGCCTGACATAATGGTTCATAATTTTACATACGATATGTAAAGATTCTGTTTTGGTTGTTATTTATCAAGAGTATAAATGCATCATCCGACCCACAACACCAAATAGGAAATGACACTAGAGCAAATTAGATTAGAGAAGGGCACGGATCCTTGAATCTGCTCTAATCTTACCTCAATTTGGAGTAGATTAAGAGCGAATTAATGATTCGTTAGATCCTAAATTGTTTACTATGAAGTAAATTGAAATTTGTGGAATACTAAATATTAGCAATGGAACTGAAAATAATCCCTTACAACATGTTCACATTGATGAGGCGAGAAAAATTGACGTGTACTGCAGACAACAGTTCCAATCCCTCGGTTTCGTTCATTTCCTGGTCACTAGATTTCTCTATCCATCTGAAATAAATGAAAAAAGGGAAACAATTGCACTGTAAATTTATTAAGTGTACTGAACCAAACAAATTATAAACCTAATTTCCAGTGGTTTTAAAACCAATATTGCTGATGACACCACATCATAATTTCTCTGAGGTTTTTCGTATATAATATACAGTGTAAGTATATGATACGTATATGGACGCTTTGACACCTTATAGTGGTAGCTTGGTTAAAAACTGGGTAGTATATTATGATTGCAGGGCCATTAGGGGGAACATCATACAGGTGAGGCTATCCTGTTTGTAAAATACATTATTATAAACCGCTATTAATACTTTTATTTATAGTTGTCATAAAAGCTGATAGCTGTTATCTCCATTTATCAATGTATCATATACAAATGTTAAGTAATAGGCCATTTTCGTAATGTAATAAAATTCAATACAAAAAACTTGTTTTCAATTAACTGTCACAAATAATTATTGTATTTCAATAATCAGAATGCGAATTGTTTAGATTCCGTGTAGGATAAGCCATAATTCTTGTCTTTCTTAGTTATGTATGGAATTCACATTATGACTATTGAAATACAATTATTCGTAACATGTGAATGAAATAAATTGTAACGTGGCACTTTTTAACAAAGGTTTATGCATTAAATTTGATTACATTACGAAAATGGCCTATTCGCTTGAATGAATAGCGGACAAATGGCCATGGGACCATTTTCCCAAAATATCATAATGTGCCATCCAGAACGCGGATTGTATCGCCTGGATAGCCAAGTACACCATTATAAAAGACAATATAGACATTTCTTACAGTTTTCTCGTATCTTCTTGAATCATGTCGGCTTGAGTCGGATTCCATATCACCTTTTTGCATCGTACCGACAGGTAATGGCATTCACAATCCAAAGGACATGAACTAGTATCTAAGAAACAAATGGAATCAAAGGAAAATGTCCAAAAACAGGGCACTGTTTCACAAAAGCGTATAATAAGTTCGCAGACATCCTATTGAAACGCGTGAATTGTAATAATTAACACGCGTTTCAACAGGATGTCGATGAACTCGTAGCTAATGACGGTTTCGTGAAACGCTACCCAGGAATTTAATAAAATCGCTGAGTTCATTCAGTTTTGTTTCCAATTTAAATGAGAAATATATGAAATACATGCCATGCAACGTATATGAAGTTGAATGTATATGAGACTTTAGCCATGATTAACATAATTTTCCAATCAATAAAATATTCATTTAATCTAATTAATTCTCATTGGATTGCCTGGAAAAATATATGGTCCATCGTCGTAGTTGTCATCACGTTTTTATCGGAAATAAATGAAAAACATGGACGAAAGGCCAATGATTGAATGATTTGCTTTTCTTTTTCTGACCAGAAATTAATTTAAAGGGAAAGTAGATTCGGAGAAAATCTAATAATTCCGCTCCCACTCAGTTCCTTGCCTGACCAAATGATCGCCGCATATTAGCACAGCCTTCCGGTCGTGTGGCTTGAATCTCATAACCGAGGTAAAGGGACAAGGATTCTAATTTATCGATGGATGGTGTCATGGTCGATGACGTTTTGCCAATTGTTCAATTGACCAACATCGTACATGATGAACAACTACGGAACCAATATGGCTCAAGGCACGTCCGAAAGATATGAACTTGTTGATCGAACGTGAAAGCCCAGGAAGGGATGGTCACTGACATTGTAGACACACGTATTCAATGCAAGGTGGCCGTTGTTTTACGGATTGGACATTGAGGTTATATACCGTTGTACATGAGGAGTCATTTGACTGCGTTGTTGCCTGCGCTAATCAAGTTTGTGAGAGTGATCTAGCCACACGTCATGCCCGTTGCATGCTCACGTAAAGACGCCATCTCTAATTTCATGACGTATAAATGCGTCAACGAGTTAGATGCAGTGCAAAGAGTCAATGCAATAAGAACAGAGTAAACGCTGCGTTCAACCACTGACGCATGCGCTTATTCCGTTCATAGATTTGATTGGCGTAGGTAATCATACCGGTGAATTGACGCATTGAGTACAATGGGCTTTTAAGGGGTTCACAAACATCATCTGGGATTGTAAGCATTGTTGGGCGTTTCGTGAGATGGCTGTGATTAATTAAGGGGAATGGCAAATAGCGCTTATTTTCTCCTTCGGTCGTCCTTGAATAAACGAATCGTGCAAAAATCACAGAGAACATACCAACATCCAGTTGACCATACTTTCACACGTTTCATAAAGGAAAGGGAAATTAGTTGAGGATCATTTTAATTAAAGAATGATGAGATTATCAGCATGAGACTGACTAGTTGGTGCGGGAGGGTTTGCGGTAATCCTTGGTCATTTTTTATCCGGGTTTTTAACCATTCCAATTTCATATGGTGTATCCAGACGTCGATAAACATGGTAAAGGGGAGTGGATCAACATGATTGTAAGCCCAGCTTGTAGACACACTGCTAGTAGTAGGTCTACACTTATCTTTTAAAAGGGCGGACGTACGTTATGTTTGGCTTTGACGGGTAAATTATTCAAATCAATTTACGTTTTGTCTCTTTAAGTTCACATCACTAAATGCACTTACTTGTTTGATATCATCAAGTTTTGGTCTCATAAATTCTTTTATAACTTTAAAAAAAAATCTTTAGTACCAATAATTAGAAAAAATATATAACAAAAATGAAATATGTGACTGTTAGATTTGTATAAAAATAATACATGAAAGTACCCCCAAAATGTAATACATTCTAAACGTTTAGTTGTTTCCAAATTCATTCTTTTTCAATTTTAAATTCATTATGTCTGGTCACGTATTGTGGTTCCGTTTTGTTTGATTGTTTCGTCGCCAACCTGCTGGTAACAAATCGTCACAGGGATGCGCTTTAATAAACTGAGTAGTTGAATTGCCAAGGTAGCCACAGATACTTGTAAACTATACGTTATAAACCTCGTTCTTGTAATTCAATGTAATGGTTACCTCTTATACTGTTCAGTTATGCAATCATGATAGGCCTATTATATACATATATATATATACATATATATATATATATATATATATATATATATATATATATATATACATAAATTAAAATTAATTTCACCAGAACAATGTCTTGTAGTGGCTGGAGTTTAGTATTAAGACGGTTATCAGAAAGTAGACATTTATATCGAGTAATTCGCTTGACACTTTCAGTTATCAATTTGATGTAGGCCAACTCAGCTTTGGCGTCCTATTTCCCTTATCGTTGTCTATCTCGGATTTCAAAGGACGGACTCTTAGAAATGAATTCCCAAGCCAAAACTTTTGCAAAAATATAATGTTGTTTGATACCTATTATTACAAAAGAGGAACATTAACTGATTCAGAAATACCAAAGGGACATGGTTTCTCCGAGCCCCTCCCCCTGTCCTGCTTCCGACACGTAACATGTTACAAAAATTATGTTTGTCATAGTTTGAGGGAACCACATTTTACAAGCTCTGCTTTTCAGTGGATCCCTCCATTTCCACAGGCTTATCTTTAGAAAAAACCTTAAATAACCCATCATACTGACAATTTATGTGTACTTCCTTAATTTCATAACCTTAAACCATGTAAAATGTAGTATGTTATTTAATGTTGAAATTGTATATCTGATTTCTTATCAAAATTGCTGTTCTTGGAAATGAAAAATAAAACTGAAACTCAAATCCAGTGAATGAGTACACTTACTGCAGGCAATCTCGTCATCTCCTGTTGGGCAGTTTGGAAACCCGTCACAGATATCTGCCGGGTCTACGCATGACGATGGATGTGCGGGGCAGACGCGAGGTTCACCCCGGCATGGTTGCGAGTAATCGACATCTGCGGATTGGATAGACATCAATCGGCATTAGTGTGTAATGGCGGAGGTGGAGTTTCTAAACAAAGGCACGACAGTTGCAAGTGTCAAAGGACTTTCACAAACAAAATGTCCTTTAACAGTAACACCTTTACACTTATCTCAATGAAAGCCTTGAAATCAGTTCTTCCGTCTTTTTGTAACAGAATCTGACATTGGGTAATATCCTAAACATGTGAACGACAATTTAATTTATTTCCGAAGATTTCATGTAACTCATTAGTCCTTTAAACGTAGTCCTATAAACTTAAACTTAACTAAACTGAAACGTATCAATGCAGGCGAAATGACATCGCTATGACATTTTAATGATTACATATAATTATTTCATAGCTATTATAATAGAGAGATTTATTTTCAAGCAAATAATCATTTCACATCTACCCATGATTACAGTAGGGGAAAACAAAGTATTTTGTCATACATGTAACAAATGAAGATAATGAAATTAACAGTTTTAAATGAAAACTAGGAATTGATATTTATATATAAGAGAGCGGTATTCCGCATGCTGCTAATGTTGACTTGTACGCATAAATTGCCCCCCCCCCCCTCTCTCTCTCTCTCTCTCTCTCTCTCTCGCTATTCGATCAAATACACCCGTCCGGGGAAAGTCATGCACGTGGAACAAGTAATCAAACCTGAATGCCGTTGGATTACTTCTATTAGGGAATGCTGCATTCAAGGAATTTTTCAATTGATTCTTAAAATAGTGGGGACTAGAAGCGGATTTCCGTATTATTGACACAAACGCACCGCGGGCGCCCACCCCAACACACCCACACATTCCATCAAACACACCCATACGCGCGCACACACACGCACACACTCGCATACACACAGTGTATTTCCATATCGTGATCTATCATATTTTGATGGATAAATAGAATGGCAAATGATGATGTTTTCTTGATGTTTTATGATTGTTTTACCTGACTGCTAAGAAAGCATGTGTATGCTTGTTATAGTAAGCAACCAGGAGACTGGCGGCTTTATTAGTCTTCTGCAAGGACCTATGAGGATTGCTTTCTTAGAAAGGGGTACATGAGCACATTGACTTGGTTTCGAACCCGGGACCACTGTTCTTCCCTCAGCCATATCGTGCCTTATGCATGGGTCATAGTATTACGTATATACCTAAAATCTTAATAATAATTATGACGATCGACGTATCACAATCATCATGCAATGATGTATTGCAACTTACTGCAGAAGAACTCATCATCCCCTTGTGGGCATTGCACCTGTCCATCACAAACCTGTTCCGCTGGCAGGCACACAGCCACAGGGGTAGCCCCATGGCACATGTATCCCTCCTGGCAAGTACATGTACTGTTTTCTGAAGACAATATTTAAAAAAAAAAAGGAAGAATAAATTTAAATGAATTTAATCGAATTAAATGCACTTACAGGGAAATGCCTAATGACTTCATAGTCTATATATGATAGAATCACCACATAACCCTAGATCAGTTGTGGGTGTTGGTCTTATATATATATATATATATATATATATATATATATATATCTATATAACACTTTTATTTCCCCTAAACTTCAGTGGATATCATACAAGTCCCTGAAATGATTTCGAGTAAAGACCCATTTTCTACTAGAACCGTCCTACCCTGTATTAAGCCTTTAGTAATGAAATAATTCAGTAGTCGCCGGGAAAGATTTCCCACCGGGTCATTTTTACATCCTAGTTTTGTGTACTAATTACATGGACTCTAAGATAACATAAGCCATTGTCTCTCCGGACCTGAGGCATATTTTGTAAGATCCAGTCGCAGTGGACAACTCAAACATGACCTCATTACCAGTTTCCATACTTTGACCTCGACGTAACTTAATAAACTTAATTAGGTGAATCACCTAGCTTACATGAATTTTGTACCACGTTAAGGATGAATTCCAATTTAAATCGTGAAATCCAACGCATACACCCGTCAATCTACTACTACTACTATTACTACTACTACTACTACTACTACTACTACTACTACTACTACTACTACTAC